TCCTGAAGTTGTCCCCACCACGGGTTGTCACCCAACACATGCCCTGCAGGAGGGGAGCAGAGTCTTGCCCCATGACGCAAGTAAGGCTGCTTCTCACCTCAGTAGAAAGGTAAGGGGCCAGAGTAAAGGATAGCCAGGAGTGAAGAAATAAGGAGACAGAGGACTGGAAACAGCAGGTTGGCTCAGCCATGGAAGAGGCCGCTGGAAGACAAGACAGGTGCCTTTACTCTTTAAGAGATAACTTGGCCTCTGCTTCCTAATCTTGCCTGGAGTGCTGCACTGGACAAAGCTGTTCCTGTGTGCATCTGTAGGTCTGCTGAGGTTAGGGAACTTCTTTCCAAGAGCTCGTGTTAGCGCAGGTTGTGACTTTGGATGAAGAGAATCTGAGCTTCTAAAATGTCCATGGGCGTATTAAACAGATTAAATGCTCTGAGGCAGAATCTGCTTAGAGAAATGTAACTGCCTGCTCCACGAGAAGCACAAAGCAGCATATGGCAGGGAAAGGTAAAAGCAGTGCTTTTCTCCTGTAAAAGCAGATGAGACTTCCGGAGACAGATGTGTGACAGTGTTCATGCAGCAGCCCTTCACCTCAGAAGACCTGGGTTCAGATCTGAGCAGGGCTTTGCAACCAGAGTGCAAAGATGTGATCCAACCAGGAAAAGAAAAAGAATCTCCCGAAAAAGATTTTCCTGTAAGGGAAACCTGAAAACTTCAAGTCTCAGGTTGGCCTGGGTATGCCAATGGTCTCCAGAGGAAACATTCCTTGCATTTTGACATATCCAAAACAAAAATTTTACTGAATTTCCAGTTCATGGAGTATGTCAACAACATGCCACAAATTCAAATCGCAACTTTCTTCACAATCTCATTAAATTCATCTTGGAAGCTGAGGAGAGACGCATGGGTGGGCTGTTTGTTTTGTTACCTTAGACTCTACTCAGCACTTAATTCCTGTGGGATAAACTGTGCAGAAGGAGAAACTCCTGTAACATAATGGCTCTGTGCTTCTATGATGAGGGAAGCAGGAGTCCCTTGCTCCCTCCCAGTGAAGCTCTCACTGGTTTAGCAAGAACACAGGGCTGTCTTGTGGTTCACTAAGTGTAGCAGTGAGTTGCAGGACACCATTTTAATCAGGGTGACACAGAGCCAAACTAATCAGCAGTTCTTTGATTGCTGACTTTTCTGCTCTCCTTTTGAGGCAGGTGCAGTGACAATAAATCCAGAGAGGGAAAAACAAATTTGGAATTGAAGCAAATTGGTAAATAAGGTGGGGAGCAGAAATAATCTCAGAACCATCATTTGGAGCAAATTCACTTCGACTGCCTCATTCTGCTGCTGGTGTGTATTTTGTGCAGGACTTGAGTCAGGCCTGCCAGGAAAATGTTTTATCCCAGCAGGGCGCTGCTGTGTGCATGTTGTAATCTGGTGCTGGCTGAAAGGAGGGCTTTTCTCCAGTAGCAACTGATCAGGCTTGTACTGGGGGGTGGCAGCTACATGTGAGTGATGCAATTAATTAGAACGGTGGAAGCAATTAATTTTTCAATCCGCTAACCAGTTTTTGGAAAATGATTTTGAAAACTTCCTTTTTCCCTTCAGTAATTGAAGGAACATTTTCAGTAATTTTCTGCAGCAGAAATTTGAGTATCTTGGCAAAACAGAAAAGGAAAAATTAATGTAATGAAACAGTTAATAAATTCAAGTTGCGCTCAGGAAAACGGTAAAATGCGATTTCAAAGGAAAACCGAGACATCCTGTTTAAAAATTAACAAAAATAAACATTCCAAGGTTTTTGCTGGAGTTGTTTTATCGACTTGACACAAATTGAGCTTTGATCAACTCATTTTCCAGTAGGAAGCGTGTGCGTTTGGAAAATGTGAACATACTCTGCATTGAGTGCTCTGCCAAGGAAACCAGCGTCTGCTGCTGGAGCTGCAGTTATGAAAACATCGGTCCTCTCAATTCATCCGTGCTGCTCTGATTAACATCACTATGGGTCTCGTTTGAATTGAGGGCAGCGCTGGAAATTGCAGGCTATTGAAGCACAGACAAGCAAATCAGAAGCCAAAGACAGGTGACATGGAATTAAAAGTGCGAGACGAGGTGCGAGGATGGAGGCAGAGCAGTTGCTGGCATTGAGCTTTTCAGAAAGCTGCGCTGCTGTTCCTCCTCTTCAGCCCGGTTCTTCTTCAGTCTGTTATCAAGAGAGCTAGGGCAGTTTTTTGCCTGTCTGGTTTGAACTCAGCATGCCGTCTCCCATCCACATCCTGACCTTGCAGTTGTGCAAGCTAGCTGCAGATTGCCCATGCTGCGATTTGTACCTTCAGATCCAGAAAGCAAATGATTACAAACCTGCAGTCTGAATTGTTCTTTATCTCAAGTGCCAGCCAGACTTTCTCTGGCCTTGGCATTTTATTTAGATGGGTTGCTCTTTTTCCCCGGAGTTGGAACAGTGAGCTTTTCTGTTTCTGTTTAAGCAGCTCTTTGTGATCTAATTTGTTTGGGAGCAGGTTTGTGATTCTAGAAGCTGCTGCCTGGAAAGCACCGTGTGTGTATGGTGTGACCTTCCACTTCATTCACTGCAAAGCTGCTCTGAATTTTAAAGGTGACATTCATACTCCTCTGGGGTGACAGGCTACCTGAATGGCAAGTGGAATCAGGCCTGGTTAGGGGATATCTGCTGCTGGCTGTTCCAGCCTGCTGCACAGTGAAACCCATTTGTACACATGTCCTATACAAGCACTTCCAGTGCAGTCTCTTGAGCCCCTGTAATGACATTAGGAGCTCAGATTGCTGTTTACCTTGAGGATTGTGTCTTTGCAAGGCTGCTGTCTTTCTCTAGGATGTGTGCCTGTCGGTATGCCTTACTGTATTTTTGGAGGGAGTCATCAGCAGGAGGGAACACACTAAAACGTCAGGCATCCCATAGCGCTACACGCAGCAGGCAGGTCCCAAACACACGGGTTGAAGCCCAGAAAGAAAATCCCGTCAGCATTTCAATGTGGTTTTTATGCTGCAGTTCAGCCCACTGGAAGGGCTGACCAGGGCTGACCTGTAGCTTTCAGGCTTCACCTGCTCTGAATGATTGCAGAGCACTTTTGCATAGCTTATATAAAGGGATAAACTCTTCATTTTAAAAAGTACGGTGAAGGGAAAACCTGTGACATGTTCTGCCAATGCTTAACTACAATTCCTATTAGATTGTTCCTTATCTGTTTTTTTTTCTGGGCTTGTCTAAGATCACAGTATCTGTTAGGTGTTTCTGTAGCTGAAGGGAACAGTTCTTATCAGCTTCCATTATCTGTGAAGCTCCTTATATATCAGCATCAATTCGCCTCTTCTCTGAGGAACTCAGCTAGTAACATTCAAGCTTCCTTCATTTCAGAGTTGCTTTCTAGGACGCCAGAATTCAGTTGCACTCTTCTGAATGTTGCTCAAGTCCTTTGCTGCCAGATGTTTTGTTTTGACCACAGTAAGAGGCGCATCTTCCAGCTGTAAGTCTTTTACCTGATACAGATAGAAAATTTGCATCAGAGAGTGAAAAAAATGTAACAGTCTGGGTGTCATCAATACACAGCTTTTAAACGGGGATTAAAGTAGGCCCTTCCAGATCCTAGCATCTGGCAAGGTGCTGTCTGCTTGTCCTGGTCCTGTGCAAGATGTAGAGGAGATCAGAACCAGCAGAAATGACATTTGAATCCAAGCAGTTTCACAAATGGGCGCGGGGCCTGAGGATAAGAGGAGTTAATTCAGCTTTTGATCTGATCCTGGTTGGCTAGTGCCTCATCTAGGGGTCACCCTTCTCCATGCACCCCCAAGCTTCAGCTGCAGAAATGAGCTGCATGCATGCAAACAGGCAGACCAGGAGGCATATTTGCATGCGTGCACACAACTTGCTAGGCTGGGCCCTTTATTAAGGGTATTTTCAAACAGCTTCAGTTAACAAAAGCGAAAAGGAAGCCCCTAGGAAGGTGCTATCAAATTGGCACATGCTGTTAGGGGAGAGGACTCCTGAAAAGGCAAGAAGAGAGGATCTAACCCACACCAGTTTTGTAAGTAAATCATTCAAACCAGCGTATACCAACACCTTGTAAATCAATGCTGGCACAGTTAACAGTGCACAGACTGTTAGGAGAACACAGATACAAAAGCTGTTAAACAGAGTGCATAACCATGTCAGAAATCCTGTCCTTTGAGAAGGCATTTGCACTCTGGTGAAAGGGCATTGCTGGCAGCATCTCATCCCTTGCTGCAGTCCAGGGGAGTTCATCCCTGCAGTGCCAGGTGCACACTCAGGCCAGGCAAACTCATTACGCCACATTTTCCAGCCCATTGAAAAGGCAAAGTGCTGAGCTAATATTTTGCTGCAGGCTAGAAAGTCCAGCTGGAACATGATATTTGCTAGCCTGCAGTTTCCAGAAAGCTGGGGCTAGAAGGGCATGGCCAAATAAGATGGTAGCTGTGTGTCTGAGAGCTTTCACTTGGGCCAGTAAAGTTCTCCTGTCCCTTCTTCGTAAAGAGATTTCATTTCAGCTAGAACAAAATGATTGACTTCAGAGCAAACAAGATGCATAAAATATAGGAGAAAAAGATATCTCTAGGGAATAGCTGAAGACTTAGGAGACTTCAGTGAACTTGCATTTTTGAGGTGTAGCTTTTCAAACACAAGAATTACAGTCTTGTTTTTCTGTTCTTTTTCTGTAAATGGACGTTTAGATGCCAGGTGAGTAACTTGTAGGTTCATAAGCTTTGCTGCCAGTCTGCCCCACTTCTAAAAACTGAATCTACTGTCTAAGACTGTGTTCTCTGGATCTCAAAGTCTGCTGATCATACCACAAAAGCAGAAGATATAATGTTTATCGTCTTGTCGCTGGAGCAGAGACTGTACCCAGATCCCATAATGACAGCGGAGATGGTGCCAATAATTTGAGGAAGCTCTGGCAGGAAGCCTCCCCTGCTTTGACATACGAGAATGACTCTTTCTCTCTCCACTTTCTCCACAGGTAAGAAAAATTCCATTCTGCTGCATAAAGTCCAGCATGACCTCAATTCGGGGGTTTTCAACTACCAAGAGAATGAGATCATCCAGCAGATCGTGCAGCACGACAGGGAGATGGCACACTGTGCTCACAACGTCCAGGCTGCCGCCGCAGCCGCCGCCGCCGCGTCCACCCCCACCCCCGTCATTTGGACCCCGCTCATCCAGGCCCCCCTGCAAGCCGCAGCCGCCACCACTTCCGTTGCTATCGCCCTGACCCACCACCCGCGCCTCCCGACAGCCATCTTCCGTCCCCCCGTGTCCGTCTTGGGTTCCCTGGGACAGCAGTCCAGCCAGACCCCAAGACAGCTGAAAAGGCTTCAGTCCCTGATCCCGTCGACCGGGCCTTCCGCCGTTGGCTCTCCCTCGAGTACCCCGTCCCAGCTGCACACCCCGGGAGCAGAAACACCTTCGTCCTCTTCCTACCACATCCAGCAGCTCGCTGGGTATTCGGCCGCTGCCGGCTTGGGGCAGTTCCAGGTGGGATCCCCTCCCGCGGGCTCTGGGCAGCAGGGACTGAGCGGTGCGTCCTCAGCGGGGCTGAGCCAGCTGCAGCGGGCGCCTTCTGGCTCACCCCTGGGGACGGCTCAGCCCCTGCAGCAGCAGCAGCTGCAGCGGCAGCCCTCCCTTTCCAGCGGCGGATTCGGGCACTTCCAGCAGGCCGCAGCCAGCTCTCCATCCACGTCGCTCACCCAGCTCTCATCCAATTCCCCCCCCAGCCTCCTCAACCAATTCCAGCCCGCCACAAGACCGCTGCAGGGGGGACAGTTGCAGCAGCTCTCGGGCAGTGGAACTCTGGGGGGAATTAATCACTTCCAGCCCCCTCCTTCTTCCAACTCTCCATCCTCCAGCCTAAGCCAGCTGGCACAGGCCTCCGGCGGGCCGTCCTCGGGCCTTTGCCAAACACAGCCAAGTGCATTAGGATCTTTAACTGGAACGATAGCCCAGCTCCACCAAGAACGATCCCCCTTTGCCTCCGCGTCTCCTCTACAGCAGCCTGGCGTCGCCTCTCCCTGTTACACCCCTTCTGGCCTTAGTCCTCCTACTCAGAGCCCAGTGGCAACGAGAACTTTTCAGTGCGGCCCGCTCGGGGCCTCGGGCTCTCACGGCTCTCTGCTCCTGCCTCAGACCGCCAGCCCACCTCCGCAGATCCTGCAGTCCAAGAGCACGCCACCCGTGCCGCCGGGACGCTTGAACCAGGACATCAAGTTGATTTCTGCTTCCCAGCCATCCTTGCCCCAAGAGCTGGCTCAGACACTGAGCCAAAGTTCTCATTCCTCTAGAGAATCTGTTTCCAGCTTCTCTCCTTTTCCCGGAGGAGGGACTGGACTTCTCGGGAAGCCTTGTAGCTCAATTCCTGGCCGTGTGACTTTACCACGTCAGATGTCCTCAGGTTCTTTACCGCACCCGCTGGTGTTTGGGGCCGGCGCTGCAGGCACCGCTTCTCTGACTGCTGGTGGGCGGAAAGAGTCCATAGTGCTCACAGGGGATCTGGAGCCTGTCAGATCCAAACTGCCCTCCAATTTGTGAGGACTCCTTCCGAGAGCTGGTCATGTCAGCCGTGCAGTTCGGTTCCTGATTAGACTTTCATGAATCATTTTTTGCCTTTTTTATTTTTCCCTCTTTCCCCCCCCCTTCCCCCCTCCATTTCTTTTGTTTAGATTTAACTGTGATTAGAAACAAACAAGCAAACAAACAAACAAAAAAAAACACACGGAAAAATGACAAAAAAAAAGAAGATAACCAGGTATTCTTAGAGCTATAGATTTTTGGTCACTTGATTTTATAGAATATTTTAATACATGGAACAAAAGGATACGAGCAAATTTAATCCAACGAGGTAACGCACAGACAGGGCATGTGCCTGAGCTGGAACATGTGAATGATCAGCCATAGAAGCCACCAAAAAAGGTTTTCCTGTTGAGACAGTGATCCAAGGTTGACGTGGGCCGTAGAAGGGAACATGAGGCCGGCCCGTAGCTGGTGTTTTTGGAACAGCTGTTGTTGGCCACCAGCTGTGGGGGGGGAACTCGATGGCTCAGTGTGTGCATCGGGAAGTGTCACCTCCTCAGGTCTCTCCTGCGATCTGCAGGTTGCAGAGGAAGCAAGAAGAGAGGTGAGTTTCATTCATGCAGTCCCCTCTAGGAATATCAGATGGGCTGAGTTTCTGTGTGGACTCCATCTGAAGAAGATGACCAGGAGATGGACGGACTTGACTTCAGATGCTTGTCTCATTCCGCTGATGCTCTAATGTGGGTTGTGGGAGAAGTCCTGTCTCTGCCACCACACCAGGCAGCTGTTCTCAGCAGAACAGCCTCAGCCTCACTCCACGGCTGGAAGCCTGCATGCTGCCTTCCAGGTTGGGGCATGCAAAGCAAGGGGAGGGGTGAAGAAAGAGACAGCACTTTAACCTTCCCTCTCTCCGTTTTAATGTCTCAGTGTCCATGGGCTGACTGCTTTGAAGAGAACTGGTTAGGGTAAGATTGCAAGGTGGGCTGCAGCCACCCCAGCCCTCTTCTTCCTTAGCCCAGGGGAGTTTGAGCTTGGAGGCACTGAGGGCAATACCAGTGCCCAGCCAAGAATCCTCCAGATTTGCAAATATGTTTGTACCATTAAAACAAATTAAACCAGAAATCTGGCCAGCCATGGTCCGTGCTTCTCCTCTGATGGGGGAATTGAAATCTTTTGCTTGATTTCACCAGCAATAACAGCCTGCACCTGATTGGCGTTGGTCTCGCCCTGCAGTTGCAGCATCACTGGACACATCTGGGGGCTGGCAGGCACCTTGAGCTGGAATTTTTGGGCTCCCCTGATTTAAGACAGTCAAAACGGGTTGAAGACAGGAAGGTGCCTTTGGGTGCACTCAGCAGCGAGAAGCTACAGCCTTTACCTCTAGAGCAAATGTCTCCTTTTCTCTCTTTTTGTTTTCCTTTCAATTCTTTCTTTCTCTTTTGTTCTTCCCAAGGCCAAGAGGTGTCTCCAGCCGCCTCAGTGTAAACAGTCAGGTGCTCAACTTTTCTAACTCTTGTTGGAAACACTTGTCCAGCTCCCCTCTGTTCTCAGCTATCTTGGAGTCCCTCCAGCCCACAGAGGGAAAGCAGACCTTCCTGCAGCAGTGCCAAAAAATATATCACAGTAACGATACAGGCCCACACAACCCCTCATCTTACCTCCTCTCCCCAAAAACACTGGCTGACAGTTGATTTTTATACCGAATTGTTTGCAAAACTCTTGACACGTGCCTGTATCTTGAATGTTGCTGCAGGCATTACTGGGCACTCCTGCTTCAACGTGCTTTGGTGGCTCAGAATTCAGATGTAATCAGCTTTGGTCTTCCTTAAAGGGTCAGGGGAACTCTAGAAATGTTTTTTTCTACTAGCTACATACAATTATGTATGTGTGAGTGTGTGTGGCGGGAGGGGAGTGTGAGTGTTTGTGTGTGTGTATAGATTTTTATATATATATCTATATATACACACATGCTTTTATATATATGTAGTGTACAGTCATACACATACGTAGCCTATTTATGCACATGTGTAAGCAGCACACACACACACACACATATTTATATATATATATATATATATCCTAGTTTTAAAATACATGTCTGTTTTGACCCTCCTGTAGGACTGATTGGCAGGAGATAATTATAACACGTAGATCCTGCTTTTCCAAAATATGTACACGCTCATCTTGAAAGAGAATCAGATTGATGGAATTGAAGCAGACTCACAGATCCTCTCATAGTTTCAGAGGTATGAGTTCCTAGAGGAAGACTCACAATATCCTTTTAAGTATTCTGTTTGTTTTAACAACCTTTTTCCCCATATACTAGAGGGCCCCCTAGAACGAACATCTCGAGAGGTTGGGAGCTAAGCTGTTTGGGTCTGGGGAATCTAATACAAGCAAGTGGGAAAGGTCTTCAGCCCAGCGATGCCAAGCCCTCATGGATGACTGTCCTGTGACTGCTGCATAGGTACTTGAATCTCAACAACCCCTGTGGACACTCAGACAAATGGAGGGGCACAGAAACACCCTGAGGGCTGTCTCTGGTAGCCGTGCGTTCCATCCACCAGTCCGGTGAACATCCTTTGTTCAGTTGGGTTCCTTTGCTTGAATTTTCACGGGGGTCTTGTTTGATTTTCCAGTTCTTAGTGGTGCAGTAGCCAATATTGAGTTACTCCGACTGGACCCCAGTCAACACTAGGCTTGTCTCAGTAGGTGGAACTATATTAATTATTATTGTTATTTTTTGTTTTATTTTGGGGGTTGGGGAGGGAGGGAGGGAAGAGTTCAAAGGGTGGGGTTTGCAATATAAAACACAATAAAAACCTTAGTAAATAAAAAAGTAAAAAACCCATCTCTCTGACTTGCTGTCTGCTTTAAGTGTGAAAATTCAGGCAACATGAGATTTAAAGAAGAAAAAAACCTTGTGTGGAATTTCAGCCCTCTCTGTCCTATTGGAGAGAGACCAAGGAATTTTCTCACTTCCTGTCTGTGTTTTCGTGCTATTTTCACAACTTCAGTGGTGTTTACCAGCTGCCACCTCTCCACCTCAAACATTCCTGTGCAAAATAAGCCATTGACCGTAACGTTTCTAAGCTTTTCAACAGTGTGAAGGGGCAACCTGGCAGTTGTTTTGCTAAACATGTATGAAATTCATTCATGTTACTGACAGGTCTGGAATCTCTGGCTGATTTTGTGATCCCTAGAGAAGAGCTTAAGGAGCTTTACTGCAGGGTGCAGAAGTTAACGGCTTGGAACAGGGACTATCACAAGGAGCAGACAAAAAAACTGGATAAAGCAAGTACCACTTCCAGGTCTCAAGCAATGCTGGATGATGATGCCAGGGTCAGGACCTGAGGTATTTTTGGAAGGTAAAAGTAGCCTCAACCCTTAGCTTTCATTGAGATCCTTTTTGAGTCTTTGTCCAAACCCAGTCTAGAAAATGTGCTCAAAATCTGTTATGTGGGTCAGTAACTCACACAAGGCCTCATGCTCTTTCTTCAGTGCCAAGAAAACATACAGCAGAGCAGCCCAGCTGCTGGAGTCTGCCCTACTGCCCATGGCACTGAAATGCAGCTCGACATCAAGCTCCCTGCACCCTCCCAATAGGCTCACATTCATTTTACCTTCCTAAAATCTCGTTTCCTTGGTACCTTCTCATCCAGTGGTTGTGTTTAGCCCAAAGGCTGTAAATGAAGTCAATGTTTTGCACAGAAGGATGCTCAGACACTCACACTTCCACTGATGTGGTGCAGTAAAGGCACAGTCAAAGCAGGATGCTCCTCTCCTCTCCTGCATCTGGTACAGGAAAATTGGAGACCCTTTTGATCTCCCTGACCTTGTCTGCATGTAATTGAGAGGCACTGGTGAAGAAAGAGCAAACCAAACATTTTCATCAAAAAATGCCCTTATGCCATTCCCTTGAAACCAGATGGCTCTACCCCAGAAGGTCAGTTGTCCTGGAGCTGCCCTGAATGAAGTGGAGCAAGTAAAACACTTTGTTTTGCCTTTCTGAGAGCAGAGCAGACTACAGTAACACAATAGCATCATGGTCCTCACAGAAAGTCAGGCGCTGGAGGTGTCAGTGGCATGGCTTGGCTAATGAGGCTGATGTTTGCCTCAAGCAAACACAGGCAGTAGCCGTGTCACTGCTCCTGGCCAGTGTGGGTGACGATGGGTGATGTGGATGGATCAGACAGCTTTTCCCTGAACAAAGTCTGGTTCCACTGTCTGTAGTGATTTAAGAATCCTAAGTTGTTCAGCAGCGCACTTGGAAGGGCTTGATTGGCTTAGCATTTGCACTGATGCTTCCTTATCTTACTGACGGGTCTCAAGACTGCACTGGGATTTCATGATATGCACTGGCTGTCGGGAACAAACTGTTCAGGTACCAGAGCCAAGTCACCCTTCCACCAACAGGGCAGTCTTTTCACCTCCTCTTTACTGCTGCCTCCATTGCAGTGCCTTGTGAACACTCAGCCCGATGGCATGGGGGTTTAGTGCAGGAGAAGACGGGATCTTCATTTCTTGAGGTTTCTCCTTTTTCCTAGTAGCAGTTTGTCCAGGGCTGTGGCTGGGAATTTCAGCCTTGTCCCACAAACTCTCCCAAGCAAGTGCCTGCCCCACTCACCTTTCTTTCTGGGGAGCAGCAGGCAGTCACTGGTTATGGGACAGAGGTGAGGGATCCCAAATTTACACTTCTTTCATCCCAGGAGAGATCATAGGGACAATGAGAAGATTAGAGCAGCCCTTTTCCCAAACAGTGCTTTCCTTCCTTTGCACCTTCCTGTGCCTTTGCACCAGCTAGCCTTGGCCAGGGAGAACAGTGATGACAAAGTTGCATTGAGAAGCAGGCTGAGGCTCAGCACATGGAAATGGGGTTTCTCTTCCTCTTTGCAAGCTCTTTGCTGGTTGTTCCCACCAATGAGATGATGAGGTTTGTTGAGCACAAAAAGATGGACACCAACCTAACAGGACCTCAGCAGACCTCTTTGCTCAACATTGTCCTCCAGCCATAACCATTGCAGGAGAACCCCTCTCCCAAGCAAGGTGCCTCCAGAAAGCCTGGAGATGGGGTTGTGCAGCAAACAGCTGAGTACTTTTTTCACTCTTTCTCTGGTGCTGCAGTTCTGAGGACCTTCCTTGGCCCAAAAAGCTGACCAGGAGCTTCTGCTTCCCATAGGTGAGAGCAGTGCTGTAGCTTCACCACTGCTGAGCTGGAGACAGCAGCTGCTGGCATCAGTGTGGGCCCAGGTCCTGATGAGACAGGAGCTTTCCTCTTGGAGGTAATTCTCCCTGCCCAGCACTGCTGGATAGCAGCCACCTCTGCAAGCCCTTGATAGGTTCACCCAGAAGAGGGAAGAAAAGAGGCTAGGCCTTGGCAGGACACTCCATGCCACGCTGTAGGGCACTGCTGCAGAAGGTGGGATGGCTGTTCTTTGGCTGCATCTCCCATGGATATTGAAGCCAAACAAAGCCTTGCCAAGTTGGACCAAAGTGGAGAAGCTGGGACACACCGAGGTCCTGGCCTTGAGGCTCAGCTAGCTGAGCACCACTTCTTTTTGCTGGGGATCTGCTTGCTGGTGCCCCTTCTGACAGACCCTCGGTGCTTAGTGAGGCACCTTCCCACAAATCCCCTCCCATCTGTTGCCTTTTTCCCTGCCGGTGAAAAAGAGGAGGTGAATTTTCACCCACGTATAATATTGTAGTAGAAATGCTAAGTCACGGCCTGAAGGAGTGATTGAGCACCTGGTGGGAAGGCAGGGCCAACCCAGGGGAACACAGGTGCATGCAATCCACCTGAGTGACTGGAAAGGGTGGATCCACCCCTTCCCAGGCCTCATTTAAGGGTTGGCAGTAGAAGTAAGAATATCTCTTTCTGGGGACTCCTGCCTACTTGTAACATTCTAAAGGTAAGAAGCTCTTTTCCTTCAGTGCTCCATCTGTGGCTGCTGCATTTGGGTTTGTTCTTATTTACTGCAGTCACAAACTTTGCCACCCTGCCATTATAGCGTTACAAATATATGCGTTGGGTTTTGGCCTTTGGAGTAATTCCTTTTGTTTTTGCTTACAATTTCCAGCATGCTGAGCGTCTGTCTGAGCCCTATGGTGTCTTAGGTCATGGGTGTCCAACCTTGGTTTGCCAGGGCTGTGTGTACGTAGTAATGCCTCCTATTTACTTCTATGGAAATGGCAGCAGAGTAACTCAATAACGCTGTTTGAGCAAATTCTCAGCTACAAAACACTGCTTTTGACACAGTTACCACCACTGGCTGTGCCTTTTTGCCAGCAGTGAACAGAAGCTGCGTGCTACACTCATAAACGCTTGTGCCACTGGAGGTGACCCACTGCCCCTGGTGTCACTGCTAAAACTCACCACCTGCAGCCTCAGTGTGAGTCCATGTTTGGTCTCTACAAATGTTCAGTAAGCATTGATGAGTGTCAATGGGTGCCGTTTTCTTTCTGCATAGAGGAATTCAATTGACACACTCCTGCTCTATCTGTAGTTCTGTGTCAGATGCCAGTCTATCAGTGCCCCTCTGCTACCATCTGTCACACAGCAACAACATGGAACGGGACATGAGTGCAAAGTTCAACCTGCACTGCCATACCCCCAGCATCCACCTCTGACATCATGGGCCACCCTCGTTAAACAGAAGGCACTACTTTTGGAGCAGCCCTCTTTAAATATATACTATATATTTAAGGTAACAAAACTTATTTTAATTCTAATAGTTTTTTTTAGTTAAAATATATTTAAAAAGAGTAACAAAAGCATAAAGCTAGTGGGAAATTTGACTTTGTTTTTGTGAAAGTAATGCATCAGTTTGTTTTGGTGGCAGTGCTGCAATTCTTATGAGTTCTCAAAGTGCTCAGTAGATACAGAGAGATATATGTATATATATAATTTTTTTTTTTTTAAATGAAATCTTACACTTCCTGTGCTTCATCCTTCAAAATAGTTGTTTGCACACATACATAATGCCACAAAGTGATGCCAGGAGTAAGGAGTGCTGGGCTGCATGTGGGCTGTGTGTTGGCCATGTCTGCACTAAGTGGTGATACTCATGGGGCTGAGTATGGTACAATCTATCTGTGACAAAGGAAAAATCCTAACTAGGTTCTGCCACTTACATTTGCAGGAAGGTAGATTGATTTAGTCTTTTTTTAAACTCTTTTTTAAGGAGGCATTGCAAACCAGCTGCCTTTCAGCCTCCAGCTACCAGCTGACCCTAATCACTGGCGATGACTGTTCTGCTCAGGTTCACCTGTGAGCAGGAACTTGATTAGAAAAGACATGGACTGAAATCTTCCAGAAGAGGTGGCTGCTCTTCTGTGTCAGTGGAGGAGAAGCAACAGCTCGATGGGTTGGAGTTGGGAGCCCAGTAAATGGCAGGCTCCCATAGGACTTCCCCTAGTGCCCTCTTGTGCCTGCCTGGCCAACCGTCCACCCAATAATCCCCCCAGCACTGGCAGTCTGGCTATGTGTACCCTAAAGGGAATGCCTGAAGCTGCCGGGCAGGAAGATGTTAACAGCATCTCAACACCTTCTCATTTCTGGGAAGCTGCTCTCTATGGCTGTGCTGCAAATTAGACAGCTCTTCTGGGTCATTCCTTCCCTCCTCCTCCCCCTTTTGTTTTTTATACACCTGCTTTCTTCAGCTGTGATGGGAATGGCTGGGGCTCGCCCACACTCAGCTCTTCCCCTCCAGCTCCATGGCATGCAGAGCCAGTGTGGGTGGCTCACAGCAGGTCGCAGTCAGGGTCCTCCCCACGCCTGCTGCTGGCTCCCTGCTGCCCCATCCACCCACACCAGTCTCCTGCTGTGGCCAAGGGTTGCTGTCAGCTCTGGCCCTGTGCACACCCATCACTGTCAGCTCCTCTCTGCAGAGGCTGGGCATGCATGCTGCTGGTCTGAGCCATGCCTGCAGCTCCTGGCTGTGCTGCCAGGCAGGACAGTGTCCCTGATAGGTTGTTAACCTTTTCCATGCTGCTGCAGGCCCCTCTTGCAACTCATTCAGGTCAGTATAAGATTTGTTCTCCAAAAGAGACTGTGGTGGCAAAGAGGTGATTTGGAAAGATGCTTAACCTGCAGGCTTGAGTGTGAGCATAACCCAGAGAAACATGTAGTGGGCACATATGGGAGATGCAGATGGCCCAGAGGCCAACAGAGAGGCTTGATACTGGTGTGTGGACACATGGTTCGCGTGCACACACATGGTTTTCCTCCTCCAGTAAAACCACCTTACAGGGTTTGGTTCAATTAGCGTAAATCAGTCCTGGGAAATCAAGCTCCCTGAAAGCCCAGGAGATACAAGCACTGAGAACACAGCATCCACCTCTATTTTGGTGTCATTCTGTTGTTTGCTTGCTGGGTTTTTCTCTATCTCAGTGCCTAAACCAAATCTGCCTGGAAAGGGCTGCTTCTGCCCCAACCTTCATTGCACTGGAGCTCCTTGCTGGCTTACATGATAATGCTTTGCAGCTGGGGAGGTGGGGATGATGGGGAAACACCTGGGGAGCCTGGAGGAAGGGCTGGAGCTTACTTCTTACAGACCTGGCAAGGTAAGGGCAATGGGGAGATCTGGGGGGGTGGTTACCAGGTGAAGCCCACCCTTTTGAGGGGTGCTAATTTTTGTTACAAGCAGCTGTGGGATAGAGAGTGGGCCCTGGCTGTGCTCTGGAGGTGGCCTGAGGATGTGGTTGGACTGAGAGTCTGGGAGGTGCCATAGTACTCTGGTAGCTGCATGGCAGTCTTTGGGGTCCCTCTATTCTAGCAGGCCTGGGGCTTGGGTTGTATGGCAGGTGCTGGCTGTACTCCAGGGTTTTCCTTTCCATGCTGATAGCAGTCTTGGGGAGAGCTAAGGTGGTCTCAGTTCAGCAAGCCCTGTGCTACTGAGCACACTGCAGCATTTACAGCATGAGAGATGGGTGGAAATGCTACAGGCTCTGTATCAGCCAGGCTGGGAAGAAGCATGCTGAGTGTCTGGGCAAGGAAGGCTTGCAAATGCTGTAGGGAACTGGGGGGATTCAGCCTTGGGATCACCTATGGCTGGGTCACAGTGAAATGGGGATACTGGAAGGGATGCAGGGCCAGGCATACCTTAACTGGAGCAGGTAGAAAGGAGGGCAAGAGCCCAGGTGAGATGGTCCTACTGCCCAGGCTGGGAAGGGCTGAGAGCCTTCTGGAGAGTGGGGGACAGCAGTGACATTCCCCTCCCCCCCCCCACTGGGTAACATGGGGCAGCCCTAGAGGCGCTGGCAGACAGATGGCATCCGGGTGAGGTGCAGAGCTCCCAGAGAAGGTTTCTCTGGCAGCTCCACAGTACAGATTTACTTATTTTGGTCACGAGGCTCCAAGCCCTGACTGCAAGACAGGAGATGGATGGGAGCAGAGCGTGACCGGGGCTCTGCCTTGCAGCAGCTGCGGGAAAAGCCCAGTGTGAGAGACAGGCAGGGAAGCCGCCTCCGCAGCAGCAGCACAGAGGTTGGCCAAATGAAGTGGATGCTGTTCCCATGGAGACAGTGCCCACGAAAAGAAATGGGGCCTGGTGTGCTCCTCAGGCACAAGGAGGTGGGATGCGGGGTCTGGCAGGATGCTGGGTGGGATGGAGCTGTCAGGCATGCAGCCACCCCCTGGGGAATCCACTCACCCTCTCTCTGGATGGGGGGGGGCTCCAAGTCAGATAAGGGCTTTCCAGAACATCCCAGCTCTGCCAGCCAGGAATTATGAATCTCGGGGGCTCATAGTGGGGTTGCTGTTTCTTCCCTCTCAGGTTGGAAGCCCAGAACAGCCTGCCCCATTGTCATGGAATGGTGGAAGTACAGAATCTGTTAGCCTAGAATGAACCAAAGGAAATGGGGAAGCATGAAAACAGTCAGTGGGTGCTGCTGCTTCTTCTGGAACCTGCTAAGGGTGAGTAGTGCCTGGATTAAGTCAATGCGATGAAGCTGTTGCTATGCTTGCAGCACATCTCATGTAATTCTCCCAGCCTTTGGTGGGGGTGCTGCAGGATGTTTTAACCAGGGCTGCCTCAGGTTGGAGGGTCTCCAGGGACTCAGTCCCCTGAGATTTGGTAGCTGGCTGAGACAGCTGGGCTGGGGAACAGCATTTCTTTATAAGAAAGCACCAAGGAAAACTAGTGTTTGCTCTGCATTCAAGCCCTGTGACAACCAGCTGTCCTGGCTACATCCTTGTGGAGAGGAAGGTGTGGAGGAGAATCAGTATGTGGTAGAAAAATGACTTGTGAGGGGAGTATCCCAGGAAAGAAGGTGGGACAATGGGAGCTGAAATTCAGTTCAGGGTAGAATTAATCCTTTGCTCCACCTCACTGGCTATGAGTTCATCTCCCTAGCAAGCTATTGATAGCTTTCAGGTTCTTCCTGCCTGAAGAAAGCAAGCATACAGTCTGGATCTGTGGGTGTTTCCTTCTGCCATCTCTTTAACCTCTTGTTCTCATTTTCTACCTTCATGCCTGCCAAGGGGCTTTGCCCTCTGTTCCTGTCTGCTCCCTCTGGCCCTGTCAGCCCTGCACCTTTTCCTGTGTGCTTTTGGGGGATCACCTCCATGGCACCCATCACACTGTGGAGCTGCAGGCCTCTTGGAGGCAGCTGTGCATTGTGCCTCTGTAACCTTCCATAAGCAAACACCTCAGAACACCAGCTGGCTTTTCTTTTCCTCCCACAGTTGCACTTCCCATGTGTAGTAAGGGCAGCCATAACCCATAGCCTGGACTAGAGGAGAAGATGTATTGGTTTGACATTTTTGGCAAAGACAAATGGCACAATTTGAGCTCATGTTTTCATAGGGATGTCTTTCTTGAGATGAGCAGTTATTTGCTGTTTAAACTCGATTCTGTCTTGAGATAGGAAGCCGCTCTTAATGGGAAAAGCCTGCAAGTGTTGTATCAATTTATCTAAGGTGCTGGAGCTGCTGTAAGTCAAACCTTTATGCCTATGCTGGGAGCATAAATGCTATTAAGGAAGGACACAGTGAGGCATGAATAAAAATTAGTTTGCTGCATGAGTTCATTGCTATGCTGCTGCTGCTAACAAAAGAGTCACTAATGTCAGTCTCCGTAACTGAGGCTGAAAAGAAACAAATTAATCTTTTCCAGGTAGATGCAAAAATGGTGCGGGTTGGGCTTTGCCTTGCAGCTCTGCTTACCAGCGAGGCGTCGCTGCCATCTAGTGTCCCTGCCTTGCACTGCCAGCGCTGCACGAGGGTGCGAGTTACAGCTGCTCGTCCTTCTTTCTGCCTGGCCTAACATGGGCTTCCCGTCCCTCACCAGCACCGTTTTGTCTGGTTTGACCTCCAAAGCACGTACTGTATGTGCTGCCGGAGCAGGAATTGCTTTCACTTGAGGTCAGTAAGCAGAGATCGCATCTCTGCAGTACTGCCTGTCCATTACTGCCTGTCCATGCCTGCAGCTCTGCTGTGTCTTGGTGCTCCCAATCCAATCTCTTACATCTTTCTTCCCAATTTCTTCACTCCTTTATATGTACCCCATCACTTCTGGCACGGCTGAGGAATCTGTCAGGTTGCAGGGTCATGGAATCCTGAGGCCTCAGTGTGCTTCTCTCACTGTAACTTTGCAAGAACTCAACTAGCAAAATAAGGAGAGGGGGGAGCAGGGGAGCGAAGCAGTGCAGTAGATTGTATTCCTGTTTGCAGAGGTTGGGGGGAGGAAGGGTCTGATGCCCCCAGGAAAATGGGACACAAGGAAATGGGGAAGCTGGCTGACTTGCCAGCAGTCTGGATTGGGCATGAAGGTGACAAAGAGGATATGGCAGCATTTTGAGGGTTATGTTTAAAGAATTACAGCGTCACTTCTCTGGGGCTTACTGTCTTAAGGCTGTTTGTTCTCTGAAATGAACTTCCAGACTTGAAATCCTTTCTTCTGCTGTTTGCTTGTTACAAATGGCACTGTTGCTGTCGAGCTTTTGAGCTTAGTCAGGGAGACAGTGCTTTCTCAGGGTTTGTGAGTGTGCAGGGGAGGAATGGTGTCCTTCTGTTCCTCAGGAGGAGGCAGCTTGACCAACCACAGCAAGCAGCGCAAGCACTGCTCACCAAACCTGCTCACCCAGTTGATTAAGGGAGGTAGAGGAGTAGCAGAGAAGAGAAACTCTCCAAGCAGACCAGAATTTGATTGGATTAAAAAAAGTGTATTGGATGTCCAATACAAAATAATAAACATGAAGTTATAAAAAAAAAAAAAAAAAAAAAAAAAAAGCCATAGAGTATACAGCAAATACTACAGAAAGGCCAAAAAAAAAAAAAAAATTGTACAGGAAGGTAAATGTCTACAGCAGTCCTTAAAATTATTCTACATGAGAATCATAAAACAATATACAGGTTTGCTTTTTCCCCAAATCTCTCTGAGGGAAGCTGCCACTCAACAGCTTGACTATGACACTACAAGGATACACAATGTCCAAATTTAAAATCACAGGATATGTAAGAAAACGTAGCATTAAAATGTGAAAAAGTGCAATACAGATTGTACACTGAATTGAATAAATGTTTTCTTTTAGTTTAACCTTAAAAAACCAACTTTGAACAGTTGTTTTATCATTAAAAATATTCCCCCTCCCCGAATTCAATGACAATATTAACATTCATGGTGTTATACATAAGTAATATTCACAAAGACCCACCAGCTAAGAATACTGTATGTGTAAGATGGTATTTCTTTGGGTATAGGTAAAAAATAGGCAAAGGAAAACATCCATCCAGGAAAACGTTCAGGACAAAGTATGCTGTTGTAGGATTGAAATACATATTCTGTAGCTTATTTTGCCCTGAATTGTTTTGATTAAAAGTCCAAACATCAGTTTTCCAGGTGGCCCACAGTGCTCCAATTCATTGATTTCCTCCCTCCCCTCAAATAATAAATAAACCCAGCAACTGTGCTAAAAATGACAATACAAAGAGTTCAGGCAAAGAAAGGAAGTAAAACCACAGCCCAAGGCCTGCTGCACTTGGGACCATTCGATGGCTCTCCTCTCCCCAGCAGTGGGCACCAAGAATGCAGGCCCAGAGCTTTAGTTAGAAGCATACAAGGGATGGGAAGCAATGGAGGTTTTGTTTGTCCTGTTAAATCTCAAACAGCTCGTTCTGCTGCAGCAGGGCAGCAGTGGGCTCTACAAGTGCCTCTGGTACCTGCACTCCCTCTATTGGTGATGCTGAGCTTCCAGGAGAAATCAAATGGCTTCTCCCTGTCAGTAAGTTTTGGGTTTCCTTTCATCTTAACAGGGAAAATGCAGAGGAATCTCCTGGGCAGATGAGTTTTGTTTCTTTTCTTGTTTTTTTTCTTAGTAAGATACAGTCCCTCCTTTTATGCCATTCTTCCTTAGACTGTGGCAGAGCCAAGCAATCATCTGCATAAGGAGAAAACAGATAGATGAAGATTTTGCTTCCCCTCACAATGGATTTCCCTTTTGATTTTCCTTCCTTTCTCGACAGATACATGAACAGCACCTGAGTCACTAATACTGTTTTCCTTTTCACTTGGTTCAAAAAGAATAGGAAAAAAAAACAATTTTCCTTGCTTACATCACTCAAGAATCCTTAAGAGAAGGCTTCTTGTTTAAAGGGCCTGGGTTGGAGAAACTGCACTGGGGTTGGACTTGCTGCTGAAGGGTCCTGTGGACACAGTGTAAGGTAAGATGGGAAAATACCCTTTGATTTAGGAGAGGCCCAGGCAGCTCCTAGCACCCACAGAGCTGCCTTCAACCTAACAACACCAAAACAGCACTGTTGCCAAAACAAGCAGTAGTGGCATCTAAATGTAAGGTAACCTACTTCACAGGAGGAAATTTTTTTAATGTTTCTAAATGAGACTCACTGCAATTCAGTAACCAGAGACACAGTATGCTGGAGTTACAAGGAAGGACGGTACAGAAGATGCTTTCATTTTCTTCAGTCTTTCAAGTCAATGTAGAAAGACAGCAAAACAACAATAATGAAACCTCCCCCTGGATTCCCTCCCCATCTACTTTTCCCCACTCAAAATATTGAAACTGCACAAAAAAGCAACAAACAAGCCTTTCAAATTACATTTCAATTCAAACAGACTGGTAATCTCACAGTGATGAGAGGAGAAAGTCAGGCTTTTAATAATTATAATATAAAAATAATAATAAAAAAAAAAGCTTACAAATAACAGTGCAGCATCCCAAAAGGCCATGGATTAACTGCCAGAAGGGGACGTAATTATATGCAGAATAAAAAAACAAAATAGAACAACCCACACTGGCAATGAATTTTCATACACAATAGAACAAGCAGTCAAATGTCAGTCTAGGCTGTGAAAAACAATAGTTTCTCCTTTTTTTTTTTTTCTTTTTCCTTGATTACATTATTTTTTTCCTTTTTATATATATAAAAAAAAAAGATAAAATAAAAACACAAAATTGTACATAAATGCGAATGTCCAACACTGAAAAGGCAGGGCAATCACACCACTGAGACAAAACCTGACCAGGAAAAAATAAAACCTATGAAGTCCACTCTCTTTCCTTTTGTCTGGATGCTAGATTTCAGTCCCATCCTGCATGGACTCAGCAGGTAAATGGAACTCAGCTTGGTGTGACTTTGTTACAGGATGATGGCTGGGAAGGTCGTTCCTCTGTGACCAGCTGTAGCACAGATGCACCAATTGGTTCCTCTGCCTCCTGGGGATGCTCTCGATGTGCTGTCCCTCTTCTGTATTTATTTTTTTTTTTACTGTACAATTCCTTGTGTTCCAAGGCTGAGTCCCAAGACGTGTGAAACAATCTGGAGTCATGTCCTGGTGAAGGTGGTCATGCTGTAGTGATGGCATTAAGGTCCTTCATGAGTCCTTCCAGGTGGGCCATCTCTTTGGTCAGCTCATCTGGTTCGTAGCTCTGTGAGAGAGGGAAAGGGTTACTGCCAGGGCTTTGCTTCCTTTGGCATAAGGAACAGAAAGAAGTGCTCAGTGATGCTGGTGGAGACTGTGGCTCTGACTCACGGCTAAGCAGATTTATTGCATTACAGAAATTAATACCTTGGAACAACACTCAAATATTAAACACAGCTTTCTGCAGTAGTGATTCATAGTTTCACTGATTTTGAGACTGTGATCATCTTGTCTGTTTTCCAGGTATCAATTCCTCCTTCAAGGCAACGGCTGCATGTGTACCCAAGCAGGTCATTTGAAAACATCACCACAGCTGTAGAATTTTTTTAAAGATCACTTGTGATTGTTAACAGATGGTTCCATGACGAGCCTCAACTGTTTAGCTTCAGCTATACTGAGCAGCTCTCCTAATTTTATTATTAAGGACACTCTCACCAAGTGCACCCCAAAGCCTTTTCATAGCAAGTCTTTCCCAGTATGGTGTAGCTTTCAACTCCTTTTATTTTTTTATTTTTTGCTTTTGGAGCATTTCTCTAAATCCTCCTCCTTCTCTCACTACTATTTTCAGAGTAGAAAGATAAGCTGTGGTGTTCCAATACCAGCTGTGCTTTTGCCAAACCCAGAGCAGCACATCTCATATGTACCATTTCTACTCTGGTACATTGGAGGCACATTATGAGACCCTCTGGATGGAGTCTAATATGAAAGCTACTGCTCAGCCACCTGCACACTACAATGCTGAGTCCTTACAGGGACATCTGACACCCCTTCCTTTGCTTCCAGCTGCAAACCTTTTCTTTCACTGACACAGATAAACACTGCAGGCATGTTCAGTTTCCCAAGCAATCCCGATTCCTTCGTACCACAGAAGTCTGTTCTGCCCTATATCAAAACTGTTATCTGCCAACTGCTGGCCAACAATAAATATCAGTAAGCTGGAAATAATAAATATGGAATTGGACTCATTCCTTCAGGATCTCATAAAAGATCCTCAGGAGGAAGTTTTCCTCCCAGGGGGTGGTGAGGCACTGGAACAGGTTGCCCAAGGAGGCTGTGGATGCCCCATCCCTGCAGGCATTCAAGGCCAGGCTGGATGTGGCTCTGGGCAGCCTGAGCTGCTGGTTGGTGACCTGCACACAGCAGGGGGTTGGAACTGGATGGTCATTGGGGTCCTTTTCAACCCAGCCATTCTGTGATTCTAAGAGCTCAATCCTTTTGGATCACTTTCTAATCCTAACTACCTTCTATAATTCCTATTTTAGTGGGCATAAAATATGCACAATGACTTTATATTGTACAAATTTATCAGTGGCTATATTTATGCATGAGTATATTTAAAATATAAATCTTATTTATGAATTATAAGTATTTTGGTATCAATCCTAAATAAATCAGCAAGGAGTGACAACAGAAGGGCAAAATGCACCAAATCAAGCACGTATACAATCTCTAGCCCAGCACTTACAGAATACAATCAAGAGGGTGAATTAAAGACACCAGAATGATAAAAGGAGAGGAGAAAAAGGAAATAAGAAAATCATTCAAACAGTTACACAACAGCTAATACAAGAACTTCTTGGCTTGCACGTTCAAAAGAAAATAGCTCTTGCCTGATGCATCAAACATCCTTCTTAAAAGCAGCCTATTTTTAATGAAGCTCAACTGTTGCATTTTTCCCAGATTCCTCTCATAAAAACATATCTGTGATGTTGAAGCATTTTGGCATCAATACTTAGTTCTTCATCTGCAGTGACACTCCTATGCTTGGCAGCGACGCAGCAGCATAAGCAGCAGCTGCATGGCTTTAAGAGAATCCACGCACAGCATGCTTGCAAAATGAAAGCAGGCAAAAATCAGACGTGCAAGGAACTTCTATAGCTCCTGCAAATAGAAGCCAAAGGCATAGGCTGCAACTCCATTAGGTGCTGAAAAGAATCAAGAGTACTGCTACAGACAGATCTAGGCTTCACTCTTCTCTTCTTGTAATTGCAATAGGCTAGCAAGAAACCTGCAGCACTGAGCACAAGAAGAGAAATTAGAAAAGAAATGTTAGAGAACATTACTCTATTTTCAGCTAATAGCCTCGGGACAACCAAAATATTGCTGAAGATTTATCAGTTTTGACTTGGTGGGCTCTGTGGACCAGAATAGATGGAAGCACAGCATCTGCTTTGTGCAAACAGGAATAGAGGTATGCTCACAGGTAATCTTCTGATTTGAAAAGTACTACTCGTGCTTACATTTAGGTGCTTATTCTCTGAATTTACAGCCTTGCATAGAAGGTTTTTGCACTATGATGTTTTTATGTGGGTTTACGTACAAACAGCAGTCAGTGCAAGCCAGAAGTCTCACTGTCCTCTGCCTTTGGAAGTCTCAATGCAGTCACTACTGAAGTTCACAGCTATCACACAGACAAAGGTTGCCCCAGGAAGCTGCTGGCAGTGTCAGGGTACTTACGCTTTCCGAGTCCTCGAGCATCCTGGTGGTCTCCTGCACGTCAGGGGCACTGGGAACCACCACAGGCATGGGAGGCCGTGTTCTTCCTAAAGTCCCAATCGATGCAGTCTTCACCGAGTGAACTGGATGGGAGGGAGCTTAAAAGAAATCGTGACACAATTAGGCCCCAGTTCTCTGCCCATTCAGAAAGCAGTTAGGAGAACAAAAAGGATTTACTTCATTGCCCAACTCTACCTTACCTCACACCCCCCACCCCACACCCTTTTCTCCTTCCAATCCCCTCCCAGCTGCGCACATCCCTGCCCATCCTCACTCACCTTGCTGGGTCAGCAGCGGGGTGCTGGGCAGCGCAGGGTCGTAGGCAGAGCCGGCTGCTGGCACTGCTGGCACTGCAAAGCTCTTCAGCGGGTGGGATGGACGGACGTGAGCTGTGGGCAGGCTCTGGGCCGCATCCTCCTCCTGTGCACTGCCCAGGTAAGCACCCGAGCTGCTGTCGGGGTCCTGGTGGTCTGCACAAGGCTGGGACGAGGAGGCCGGCATGGTGTCAGAGCTCGGTGTGTTCCGAACGGATTCTACAACAGACCAAAACATGTGGTTTGTTTTCTGGAACACAAACGGTCTCTGTGGTCAAATGGAAACAAAGCAGCAGTGTTGACAAGCGCTTTTTCCAAGATTGCTGTGTTAAGCTAAGAAGTGGATTCACAAGTTGACCAAATATCACCGGCTCTGTGCAACTCTCCTGTTTGAAGGTGAACTGCAACAGCTGCCCACCAACAAAAGCTTGAGAACAGAAGGAGGCCACAGGTACAACACGAACCAGCAGTTTTGCACTGGAACAGCTGTGTGCCACAAGACACAGTTGGCACTTTGGACCACAGTGTGGGACTCAAATCTTCCCTCTCATTTTACACTTCAGTATTTCACAGTACAGGAATTGTTACATAGGTACAAGTATGCATATATCACTGCAGCACGTACAAAAGAGCCAGTTCTCTTTCCAAGATGATTGACAGACTCCAAATCCCTTTACTTGCTGAAAGCTAAAATGAAATGCCAGGCAGCAGGCTCCACCCTGAGCTGAAAGGACAAATGGGATGGCATCATGAATTCAGGACACTGTGAGCCCACTCAGAGCACATGCAGGACAAGAACTGGACAGCAAGAGCTGCCACTTCAGAGGTACAAACAGAGCAAGAGACCTCTGCCTCTAAGACACTGTCTGCTGGCATACTGCAGCCTTATAGCATGCCTTCATAAGGAAACAGGAAACAACTCTCTTGGCTCTGGCATCTTAATTAAAATTTAGACCTTGAACTAGAGAAGCTCCTAATTCACTTCAACTGCAGATGTTACCTACTTGTTTTCTATCGATGCTGTTGCTTCAGAATTTTTCACAGCACTGGAGGTGTTACAAAAACCACAGTGATGGGCGGCACTTCAAGCCTGAAAAGCACTGCACAGGAAACAGCACAATTTTCATTGTGCTTCAGGGAGATTAACCAGAGAGCCCCAGGAACAAAGTCTGGACCTTACTCCTCTCTTGCGTTTAAACACAACCAATTAGGAAAGTTATTATCAAATTAACTTGCTCAAACTGGATGTAAATGGATGTTTCAGACTCCAGGGCTGAAGGTTTTAGAATAAGGAGTCCTCCTGTTTGAAGTGTGTACAAAACATTAAAACTTCCTTTCCAAAGGGCATTATCTCCTATCGAAATGATCGATACCTGACCTACACAAGAAGCTGGTTACAGAAAGCTCAATCTAACACAAGGATATCCTCTGTGCTTAAACCCATCCCTCTGCCTCTACAGGAAATAACTTCTCCTCCATTCCTTCTCCCTGTCTTTTTTTGGCAATGAAGCAGAAAACGTGCTGTGGGTCACCTACTGAAGCAAACACAGTGCTAGGTGAAACTGCAGCTGCCATCTAAAAACCTCACAACTGTATTTTCATTCAGCACAAAGAGATACAGCAAAAGAAAGAAATGTACCAGCTGGGTCGGTCCTGCTACAAGGCCCCAGCAGAGGCTGACCAAACTCCATTCCAGCTCTCGATTTCCACATTTCACTCATTGTTCCATAACAATCAAAATCTGCCTGGACGTTTGTATCTCACCTGTGGAATTGGCCCTGTCTGAATGGGACATGGATGTGCCCATCGGCCACGGGCTGACCTGGTGATGGAGATAGCTGCGAGTTGGAGAAGCGAGGCTGCCGGAGTGGAAATGATGGTGAGGGTTATCGAGTGAATGGATGGGATGGGCACTAATCACAGCTGTGAATGAACACAAGACAGAAAAATGCTTAACATACGGACAGACGTGCGCGTGTACTGAAATGCACCACATCCCTCCCTTCTCCCACAGCACTGCTGAACAACAGAGCCAACTGCTCAGCAGATTCGTGATACCAAGACAACATTTCAGTGCCAATTTTCCAGTTCAGCTCCCACCAGGACAAGAACAACCCCCCAGAGGCAGCACCTCCATTTTGTTGCACAGCAAAATCTCTCTTGGCTGCATCTTCCAAGAGCTTTCTGTTGCACTTGAGAAGAACAAAGTTCAGCTCCCTTTAGAACTTCCACATATTTCACATGATGCTATAAATGTTAGATTTAGTAGAAGAGACACACAAGCTCAAATTCCAAAATCATTTTTGGCTGTCATTGAATTGCTCAGCTAAATGCGGCATCTTTGGTTAATTAATTAATGTAAGACAAATAAGCGTAGGAGAAGACACCCAAGGCTCTATTCATTCCCTCTGTACAGAATTAGTAAAACTCTGTTCCAATGTACTTAAACAAAAACCTCTTCTTTTTTTTTTTTTTCCCCTCTGCCATCTTCCTGTTTTATTGTTTCTGTTTGAGTCAGACGAATTTTATACTTACTGTAAGTCATCCTTTGCCCTCACCCTCCTGCTGTAACAGCAAAGTCCCACCACTCCCCACATGGGAGAAAAGCATGCATACAGTTTAATTCTTATGATTCATAAAACACTAAATTGCTTCAAATCATTGAAAGGAAAGAGTCTCAGCACAGAAAACAGAAGGGAAGGGCTGAACTTCAGCGCTACCACCAACACCATAGAGAAACAGCTGTGCTGGGTCATTCGTTCTGAACTTTTCCTGGAAATTCCCCACACATGCTGGTTTTGAAAAGCACTTTCTAGAACAGACACAAACAGTTCTGTCATTGTGACGGTGAGCCTGGTTAAGACTCCTTGCACTGATGAATACAGTTTGAACTCAAAGACCAACTAAACAAACCTGAACTCTCTGGCTCCTTCATTTCCTAGAAACCAGCCTGTCACAATGTGTGACTGGATCAGAGGAGGCAATGTGCACAGAGTTCACCTATCGGTAACAACAGATTCCCCTCTCCCATTATGTCAGCCCAACAGAAAGCCATCTCTATTATCAGCCTCCTGTAATTGCAGGTGACTACAAGAATACTGAGCGCCCGGTGCCAGATTTAAATCCTGGTGAAAGAGCTGCAAGGGGATACGGCCACAGTAAAATATGAGGTGCTGTCACCAACAGCTTCAAGGAAGACAGAAATGCTGCGTCGTCTCAAAGGGAGCTGGCAAATGGAGGAACACTATGTGAGAGCTGTGTAGTCAGAAGCCAAGGCAGAGATGACAGCCATCAGAGACACCAGCAGTCCTCCTGTGTGTTGGTGAGGCAGGAGGCACGTCCGTTGTAAGGCATACAATTAAGTGTAAACAAGATTGTAATAGCTCTGAAACACTATCCACAGCACTATCCAGTGAGCAAGGGGGAGAAGAATGACCCACAGGAAGGTAAATGCACCATCCCACTTTGCCATCCAGCTTAAGCTGAGGGCAACTTTGGAATGAATATTACGGGTTATCAGATCTGAATCACGTAGCCATCCAGCTCAAAAATCAGTGCATTGTGCCACCAGGCCTTCACGAGGACTATGACGTGCCATTTAATTTCAAAGAAGTAAAAAATTCCTATCCAAAAACAAAGAAATGTGGCGAGTTAAGAAATGAATAGGCCTCTGCTTCCTAACATCCTGCCAGAAGTTTTGTCACACGCCATTCCTGTTGCACAATTGTACGTGAAAATATAACTGAACATTAAATTATCCTAATTTAGCATAAGAGGTAAATTTGAACACAGTAGTGGGAGAGAAGAAAAAGCAGTGGGAAGTTATCTGCAGCCACAGATTTAAGCACAGGGAATGGTCCTGCTATGCTGCTTGCTGAGAACGGCCTCATGTACCAGAATGTCAGTTTTCTGCACAGCTTCTGCCACAAGTATCTAAAAGACACTCAATTCCTTAATGCTTTCACTGACCAGAAACCTACTGCAAGCCTTTGGAGCTTTTGCAAACAGGAGACAATGTTGAAGTCACAAGAACAACTTCAAGCCTTGAGCACCAGAAGGCCTTACTTCTCCCTCGTGCTGACCTGCTGCACTGAGCCAGCTGTGTCTGTGCATCACCCCTCCTCTCTGTGAAAGCAGCACTCTATAAGACAGGGAATAGCAGGTACGCTTTTCAAACAAACACAGCAGAGCTGGTATCAAAATAAGATGTCAAAACTAGGTTTGTTGCTGCAAGGAAAAACCATATCCACAACCGTATCTGTCAGCTTCATCAGATCAGCTTGAATGCCAGCAAGCAGTGCACTTGGAATATGTTGCCTTCATAAGATGTGTGCCACCACTGCACCTATCAAGCCTGTCAGCTGCACATCTTCCATCCTATGTGGGGCTGATCAGGTAAGCTGCTGAGTGCCTTTCTCACAGAATTAACATAGCGTGAGGCACAACACTGCTATGCTACTTCTGTGCAGCATGCTTCAGCACTGGCTGCTGCGTGTACTCTGATGTGTTTGTCCAATGCTGTATCTCATCTGGAGAAAAACACACTCGTCAGTATCAGAGTGCAAAGGAAGACTCCGTGCAGTCTGCATTTCTATGGGGTCTGAATGCATTGTGGAAATCATCAGCTGCAGGCACCTTGTTGGACACCCAGCTTTGACAGCAGAAAAACTTTGAAGAAACAAACCAGAATAAAGGTGATTAGCATCAATCTATCCTCTGCTCTTCCTCGATACATGTAAAACTTGGAGAAAACAGGAAGCAACAGACTATTTACTTTAAAGCAAGAAAAGTACATATTACTCCTGAAATACAGTTCAGCTCCTGAGTTCCAGTCTAGCTGTTGGGAGATTTAGCAAAGACCCTTTTCATCTCAGAGTTTTATTATTTGTAGAACAGAGGTATGCTCTAATGCTTAAAATATTTCATAGTAAGAATAAGAATTTTTGTTGAAGCAATAGAAACACAAGTTAGCACTTCTGCTCAACAGATCATTAACTGATAGGGAAGCACATAAATAAGAAGTAACACCAGACAGCCTCCTCATTTAGAAGTCTGCTCTGCCAGACCAAAAGCCTCAGCCCCTATCAGTGATAGAAACACGTTCTACTACATTAGTGTAACAGACATGCTGTGGAACAGTACTGCTGTACCTACTGCAGAGGCTCCTGGTATCCTTTAAAAAGGAAAAAAAGAACAGCATTACAACTCAAAGCTGTTTCTTCTGCTCAGTATATTACGGAACTATCTCACCAACAGGGATGCCTTGCATCGAGCCAGCCATGGTGACACACTGCTGAGTTCTCATCTTCCCTCACCGGGTGACTGAGTTGTGTCTGAAGCTGCTCCTGAGCCACTGCTGTGCTCTGCTGTACATTCATACTGATGTCTGTTTGCCTCTTGAGGGTGGGCTCTAAATTATAGACTAGTCAAGACTTCACAAGGAACTGAGCACTGGGGAGAAAAGTTCTGTTTGATGTTTCGGTCAATGCAGGTACAGGAAAACACGGCCATCGAGGAAAAAGTGAACGTGATTCCTTTGAAAGTTTCAAGATGGTGCCAGTAACTCCATACATTTTCAAGCTGGAGAAGAGTCAGCAGAGATTCCCCACGTACCGGTGCTGGTGGGACTAGCTTTAATCAGTAATCTGTGTTGCTGACTCAGGCCCAGAAGCAATCAGAGAAGTATTTAAGATTAGGATCAAGGGGATGGAGTAGCTGCCTCATGAAGAGAGGCTCAAAAGGCTGTACTACATGGCTGGGAAGAAGATGACTAATGGTGGAGATGAATCCAGTGGAGACTGACCAACCCTGATACTAGAACGACAGATCACTTGTTGAAGCCAGCAAGAGATTGGTTAAAAAAAATACAGTACGAATAACTATATGAGACATCACGTTCTGAATGTCTGGAACTTGCTACCATGGGAGACTAGAAGCAGACAGCAAATTCAGAAAAGGGTTAGACCTGTTCAGCAGGTCAGTAACTAGACCACAGAACTCTTGGTGGCAACGTATCCTCTACAGCTCCCGTGTTGCAGCTGGCAGAACACAAAGAGGATGGACCACAAAAAGCAGCCAGGCTCACATCTCCCTAAAAAGCACCTGCAATTGCCACTGCTGAAGTCTGAGACAAACTGCTGGACACGTTCCCAATTCACCCCCCTTTTGCAGTACACCACCTGCTCACTCAAACACTGCCTTCTCAACAGGGGATTTGGGATGCTTTCTTTGAACCGTTTCCATTGCAGATATGGGAGAATTACTTAGGAGATTCTAAGTCAGAGATGAGGTCAGTGTGGGTGTGTGTGCATACATATCAACACGGCTTGTTTGAGTGCTCCCGGTTCCAAGGCAGCGAGGTGGGCTGTAGACTTACGCTGAGGCGGCTGAGAATCAAAAGGCATCATCATCTTGGGCCTCATCCCCCTTCTTCCTGCCAGCGTGGACATGCTGTCCTCCGACTCATGCCCTGGAGGAAGAATAATGAAGGTTATTTTGCACGGCAGCAAGACTTCTGTGATACCATACCAAAATGATTCCAATCCTCCTCTCATTATTTCTGGGTGTGTAGGAGGGCTCTCCTGTTGGGAAGCATTTTTGTGACTCGCAATGGACAAAACCAGCTTTTCTATCCTTCACCAGGAGGAGGACAGTTAATGTAAAGCTTACTGGGCACTGGAAGGGCTCTACAGGCCATCAGGCTAGCACAGACAGACTGCATGCTTGACTGCATGCACTTGTTGCACAAACTACTGAAAACTGATCCGTTTTTACGGAAGGAAAAATCATCCAACACTCGTGCTTCCGTTTTCTCACTAAAACATGCGATTCTTCCTTGCACAGAGCTTTATAAACTAAGCATGAGGCAAATTAACTACTTGGAAATTAAGAACAAAGAAATAACGATGGCCTAGAAAACTTGAATAAAGAGATTTTGCCAGATATAGTAAAATATGTTTTAACACTCAGGATCAAAGTACTTGCTGACGGCTCACCTCTGTAGGAGTTCCGCCTTTGGTGAATATTGCTGTCCATGGAATTATCAACTGGGGTGATGTCCTGGGAGTTGCGAGGGATTGGGGTGTCTGTCATGATCGGATTGGGATCTGGAGATTTATCAATGGGTTTTAGCTCCAGTCTTTCATGATGGATCCAAAGGTCAGGAGGCTTGACATCTTTGGAATTCCCTTTGTACTTGTGGGACCCGTTCACTGATTTGCAGGCAGCTCGTTTCCTTGGGAGGGAAAACAAATACCATGTTCTTAGATGTATGCTTCCCTTCACTTGGTGGAAAAAGGCAAATTTTCATTGAGATTTCTTTCTGATCTTGCATCCAGCTGAGCGAAAGCCACCCACTGGGCAGGAAGCTTTGAATTTTACATATAAGCACATCTGGCATCTCAGAGCATAGCCCTGCATATTCCGCATACTCTGATGCAGAATTCTCTCTCAAATGGTACACATACTGCAGAACTGTGCCATACACACAATGGAAGTCTAAGCTTCCATTAACAATAATTAAGTTTCCAGTGCTTATAGCTATTGAGGGAATATTCTAAGCATGAAGTGCATATACACCATGCTGTGCTGTACTCCAGGGCTTATAAACAACCTCAAACAATAGCTACAAGAGCGTGGAAATAGCCCATTGCCCCAAAAGCATGGTTAACCTGAAGACTAATGACAAGAACATTCATTTTACTGCTGTTCAGACTAGACACAACTAACCACAGCACGTGTGAGGCTCCTTGTTCCACATTTGACAAGAAGGGTTTTTGGGAAATTGAAATTTAGAGCTCTTGCACTGTACTGCCCACATACTCACTTCAGACCTTGGCAATGACAGAGAAAGGTGTCCCTTCCAGGAAGGGCAGTTGCCAGACATGGCTGGGATATGTGGCTCAGATACCTGACCACATTCCATTCTGAAAGGATTTGCATTTTTGCAGAATGGTTCAGATTGAGCAAAACAAGTGGAGATTATCTGAGAAGTTTGACTTTCATCGCTTTCTTAAAACTTTGTTTTGCATAAAAGAACCTCTCCATATTCTAAAACAATTCAGTTCTCTTCAGTTCTTTGAAAGAACGTGCAGAAACAACATTCAGGAGCCCGTGAATGGAAGCATCATTTCTGTCACCAAAACGAGGGCAGAAGTCAGATACACACCTATATTAAGGATTCTGCAGCACTGCTCTACAGAATCCCACAGCAGATTCTACTCCAGTCATCTATCTAAAAAATAGATATTATCATTCACAGAGCTTGGAAACCTGCTCCACACAGTGAAATACGTGCTACGAACAGAAGTGAGAATGTGCCTGAGCTGCTGATCACACAGATGCTCAGGACTAGAAACACAGGAGCTAGGCCAGCATGCTGCCCTGTCTAAATTGGTTCTGCCTCTGATCCTGGTGCAAGCAGCAATGGAAGCTGTGCAACAAGAGATGCCAGCTCTCAAATGACCATCTGAGCTAGCAGCAGGACACCCATCAAAGGTTGGTGTCATTTCTCACAAACATATAGAGCTGTTTTTCAAAAAGGAATGCAAGATAATCCCAGTACAGTATTTTAAACAATAATTTATCTTCAGAAAGGAAGAGGTGCAGGTCTATATGAAAGCATTGTTCAATTCTGTAAACCACTGATGGCTGCAAATTCTGAAATGCTGATTAGGAAAAGCAGAAGAACATCATCATCATCTCCACCATAACATCCACCAGTACAGCTAGGTTATCTTCTGAACACCAGAACTCAAACTCACGTTCCAGCACTGCATTATTATTTGGATCTCAGCACATGGTTTCTACAGCCCACTAGACTTCAAAGTAAAAAATTCTGAACCATCATAACGGACGGATTGCCTGGAATTAAAGGAGAAAGATAGGAGGGGGCCGAGTGCCACCCAGACAGCTTACTTTTTTTGGTGAGAAGTGGTACGACGAGTGCAGAAAACGGCGACGATGACCACTATCACAATGGTGATGACCCCAACAGACACTATGATGACAAGAAGCATGTTGCTATCCAAGGGAGAGGTCGGACTTCCATGGGGACTGTTACTGCCTGTGGAGCAGGGAGAGAGGGGTTATTTATCTTAAAGGCTTGGAGAAGATCCCCATCAGAAGCAAGGGGCACTGATCCGGGCTGGGAAAAAAAGATGAGTGGAGTGAGCCAGATGGAATTCTCTTGAAATGCTTGCTAATTCTTTCGTTATTCACAAACTGTGTTTCTGTACTACTGTTACATGCATAAGGCACTTAATTGATTCACCTCCAACTAACAGTCTATAAAATTTCAAGTTCACCCTACTCAAACAGCTGCCATAAGGAAATCCAATAGTTTAGAGTCTGAGGAGTTAACACGGGACCTTGCTAGAACCAAAACAATGCGGGCATTCCTTGGGACCCAGTAATCACACAAATCCTATCAGTATTCAACTGCAGGCACTCTCCTCCAAAGGAAAACACATTTTATGTAATGCTAATGAGTGCTACCGCAGGGCAGGGCTGCCACAATGCTCAGCGCTAATAAGGAGAAGGGGTTAAGATGGTTTTTCTCCTTCCTGATATGTTCTTACTGAATTAATTTTACACTCGTGCTCTACAGCAGCCATTTAAAACTAAGCAGAGAACAAGATCCGCTGTCAGACTGAAACGCAAATGCCCGTGAAGGTATTTCTTCCAAATACCACATGCAGTAGGCAGGAGTGCTTTGAAAGAAGCGTGATACGATTTCTTGAGTGGGAACAGCTCATGTCATAAAGAGCAAAAAGTGACGGGAAGAGATCTGCAGAGGGCTGGGAGCAGTGTGCAGTCACTCCGGAACAGCACAGCACGGCACACCTACCGCTGAGCGGGGGTTTGTAGTCCGGCCCCACGTCCACCGGGCGGCTTCCTTTCCCTGCAGATCCCGAAGCTGGAAAAGTCACACAGGTGGTAATTCCATCCTCACCTCCACATCCACGCACACCCACACCTCCCACAAGCTGCAGCGCTCTAAGGCAGCTCTTTCAGAACTTCTTTCCCAACTGCTGTGAGCGCTTTCCCCCCCTGCACAAAAGGTGTTCCTCCAAGGAGGGAACCACTTCAGAAGAGCTGTTTAATAATTGGTTTCCTGCGCAGCCCGTTGTTCCATCTTAAAAAATATAATAACAATTATTTGCAGTAATACACAGGTATATATTGAGACAAATGGCTTTACCACACTCGTACAGTTAATCATATTGAAGCGGTAATTATACAGGTTTCTCTTCCTAATCCCTAATTACATTAAGCAGGAAGCAAAGTGCTGTAAATATTAAGTCCCTGCCTAAGCACTCAGGCCTGCTTTGAACCTCTCCCCATTCTCTTCCCCTTGTTCCACATTTCCACAACTGACAATGAAGTATCACTAAAACGCTTCTGGAGAAAAAAAAATCCGGCTTCTTTTGTTGTTTTGTGTTTCCAGTAGAATGCACTAATGCAAAATTCCCACACATATAGGATAACCACACCGTGCCAGGAACAACCTTCCCCTTACAGCAATTCAGGATACACAGCAATAAGCACAAAAGTCCCAAACCACATAAAACAAAAGTCCTCAAATGCAGCACTTTCATAACTGGAAGAAGGGTTTTCCCAGGTAAAAAATCCACTCTAAACAACAAATACTAAATGTAAAAGGATGTACGTGAAATGGAAATTATGAGCCTCGTGTCAAAGTCTGTAACTTAGACAACTGATAAGAATATGGTGAGAACAGCAGAAGGTACCAGCAGGAAAACTAGATGAACCCCAATGAGGCCACTAAGAAGAAATGATACGTGTTTACAGTGAGAAGTTAGGTGCTGTCTCAAATAATGGAAAAGATGTATTGCAGGACAACTGTGTAATGGCAATGCCCATTAGGAGCTGTCAGTCCAGCAAGGACACAGCACTGAGTAGCTGAAGCACATTCTCACTTTGAAGCACTGGACAGATGAAATGAATTAAACAGAACTGTAAGCAGTTTGTATTTAATGTATTTAGATCTATAAGGCCAGGTCACTTACACTGAAAGGATGTGGAAAAAACAGTGAGGTGATTTCTCTGTCCCAGCCCAGCTCTGAAGACATGCAGAACTCCAGAGGAGCTCAGAGGCAATACAGCTAACTTGGTTAGGTTTGAAAAAGACTAATAGACAGCCCTGTGCAGTTGTAATGCAGCAGGTGGGGCCTTGGTGTGGGCAAGGTCACGGAGCAGCCGACAGCCAGAGATGGTGGCATGCTTCATGTCCATCTTTCTGTTGCATGGAAGCAGGTATTTCCAACGAACATCTGACTGTAAACATCATTAGTAACTATGCAGACAGGCTATCTTTAGACTTCTATAAAACATTTTGCCAAGCACTGTGCAATGCTTTGTTAAAAATAGCCTAATAAAAAAGCAATGTGGCACCTATTAACAAGATTAACAACTAATTAGCTGATAAGAATAAGAATTATAATTGCAGAATCATTGTTCACGAGGGATATTTCTAATGAGGTTCTGTAAAGACCTGAGCTCACCAAGTATAATTCAATATCCTTAATAACACTGGGAAGGAAAATTAAAATAATTGCTACTCAAGTTAACAGATGACACAGGATGATGGAGTAGATAATGAGATATGCACAGTCACCTGCCCAGACCAGCAGGGACCACGTGGCAGCTGCAGTCAGTTCAGCTCATCAGGGCTCTGTGCTCACTGCCACGCCACCCCCACATGGGTGCATCAGTGACAAAGGATGCAAATCCTAGTTAGGTGCTGAAAATGTTGGGATATGCCCAAGCCAAGCTCACGCACACTGCACTGTCTCTATGGCCACCAATCAGCCTTTACTCAGCAGCTCACTTTGCTGCTGAGGTTCTCCATTCCCTTCCATATCAAGTTCAAGCTCACCTGAACTTGATACAGTTGTCTGCACCCAGGCAAACTTGCTTTCATTTTGTGCTACTTTAGGATAGTCTTACTAGGACAAGATGCCTAAACTGTTGCTCTTCTACTAGACAAAGGCCCTGCAGCCCGACAGCAACAGCCAGCAACTCCTCCTAATATAAGCTCTGTGTTACTTGAGTGTGTGGAAGAACAATTCAGGGTGCTTAGTGCAAAAGAACAACCCTGAAAGAGGGGAGAAGCAAGACAGAACCATCGAGCTCAGAGCCTCAGTCCCACTGCAGCTTGTTCCTCCCAGTCTTGAGCAACCTGTCTGATATTTCCTGAAGGACACAGCTCTGTAGGTACAGATCTTGTCACCAAGCATGTGTTCTGCTTATGTTCTTCTTTTCTACATTTAACCTATTGCCATGATTTACCATCTCCACCCCCTCTTACAGGAATCCTGAAACAAAACTCCCTTGGCATTCATGATGTATAAATCATATACGTTTATAAACATTCATCCAATTGTTAGTAGAAGAAAATGTCACTTCAGGATGATAACGTTGGTGAGAACTCAGTTGTCTGCTGAAATGAAGTTAGAAGATGATTGCAGAAGAGGAAACGGCAACTTTTCAGTAAACCCTCTTACTCTTTCCCTGTTCCATTCCTGTTGCAGTGGAGAACAGGGAGCATTTGCTTCCCCCAGACAACCCTGCACCTCAGCCAGCATCTACGTTATGAATCTGGGTAAGAAATTGCTCCATAACTGCCTACTATCAATATCAGTTAGTACAGAGAAGGTAAAAGCATATTTAAGAAATTACTTCTAAACAGATTGAAAGCGAGTTAAGAAAAGCTCATTCTCAAACCCTGTCAGGATCTGTTTAATTGTATGTCTAAGCTGCTTGCCAAAGTCCTTTTAGCCTCATCCCTTTAGACTAATTCTTCCCCTTTTCATTAGGCTTGCAGCTTTTTTGGAAGAAAGCAAAAATAGCCCTGGGACATTTGCTGTATAATGCAAGGCAGGAAACTCAAAGCTACCATTTTTTCAAGGGAGCACTAAGGCTGTTAGTAGCTAATGCTGTGCTCTTCAGGAGACTGGAGTCTAAATGAGCTGCCAAGCAGAATCTCACAGAAAAAACGGGTTTCTAGAGCAGACACACTTTCCTTTATTACAAAAATAATTATAGATGCAGAGCTCACAAAACAGCACTTGTGCTAATTAGATAGCTGTCTGATCTTCCTCCTCTATACACTGAGATCTCGCATCCACGGGCAGAAGCTAGTTGGAACATCACTTCATCCAAATTCATTTTGACAGAATGATTCACCTCTGGCATTGCCCACTTGTCCATTCATGTGACATCTGACTACAGAGGCCACTTTACATTCCCAACACTCGAACTACAAATAGAGTTTCCAGTTATTCCACTATTAAAAGCACAACAGGAACTTGAATTATATTTATATTTAGAGCAGCAGATTCTTGTTTCATTTAGGGGATGCAACAGCACATGGAAAGGAAAACAACACGTGGAAAGGATGGAGTAAGAGAGAAAGCACGGCTGTTCATTTACCTTGATCATTAGGCATTTTATCTGAGGATTCAGCTAGTGGGAAAAGCACAGGGAAGGAAAAAACAAGAGAAACATCACAAGGCTTGAAGCAGCGAGAGATGGAATTTCAACTTTCACACAGCATAAATGGACTTGTTGGCATTAAGCTCTAAATTTTTAACCAAGTTACACAGAGAAAGCGCTGTTACCATTTCTATCTTTTACCTCTTCTTGCTTTTTTTTTTCCCCCAGGGATGTGAGATGCTTATGCCAGCTCACCAGTTAGCAAGCACTCCTCCATTAGAAAGCCTGCTGTGTCACTGCAGCTCCACCACATCCCCATGAGCTGGTTGGTGCTCCCCAGCTCGGGCTGCTTTGGACTGCTGCATCACAAGCATGTGACACGCAGGACCTCAAGCCTAAAAGCAACTAGAAACTTGTTTTTTAAAATGCACATGTGGGACTTGGACCCTCTAATAATTAGATGCCCTAAGGGCCAGCTTCTCACTGGGAATAACACAAATAAGCAAATAGTTGAGCAAAATTTGCATATGTATTAACTACATGCAAGAGTAATCAGAGAGAAAATTCTATTCTAATCAAACTTCATCATCTTCTTTTCAGCTGAAGTATAAAATTTGTGCTGCTTGGTGTCCTACCCTCTGAGATGTGGCATTCAGACCATGTGAAGCTATTTGGATGCAGGTGATACTTACCTTTAGGGGTCCTGAACTGGACGGCCTCAGACATGGGCCCCATGCCCTTCGAGTTGCGGGCCTGAATTTTGAAGTAATACGGCGTGTCGAGGGTCAGCTCCTGTATCTGGTGGGTCAGCCTGTTCCCCACAACGGGCTCAATCACCCAGTCATGTATCTCAGCATTCACGTCCGTACTGTAGTAAATGATGTACCCTATTCAAAAGAAGGAAACAAAAGGATTTTACACAAAAAAGAACGCGACAGTCGTAAGATCTAACAGCAAGAGTTCTATTGACTATTAATGATATTTGCACAACCAAATGATTATGGGTTTTTGAAAGTGTGTTCTTACATTTTCAAAGACTAGGGATGCATTCATGTATCAGACAGCCTTCCCTCTTAAATGTTAAGCTGTTCAGAAGTACGTTGAGAGGAAAAAATCCACTTAGAATATCAGTATTATTTTTGACCACTGCTCATAAAGTATGGATGAATTCCTCATTTCCATCTCTATCTGTTCCTGGACTAAATAATGTAAAATAACATAAACCTACTCTTCTCAATACATCCTCCAAGTATTAATACTTAGAGAAAATCGCTAACCTTGAAACATCAGAACATTCCCATGCACAGCTCAAGAAAGTGTGTTTATGAGTTGGTATTAGACACAACTAATGCAATTAGCACTACTTTTCAGTTTCTTAACAAAGAAAACAATCTGAAGAGAACTGAAGCTATCTTGCAGGTCCTCGAAAAAAAAGTATGGGAAGAGTGAGTGATGTGCTATTATACTGCAAATACAAACCACTGCGAAGTAAAAGCTTGGCAAGTTCTGCCACACAGAGCACGAAGCCCTTGGCGTTGATTTGCAAAAATACAGGGCTAGCTCAGAAGCCTCATGCACAAATTGCCCACGGAGGCTGTGGATGCCCCATCCCTGGAGGCATTCATGGCCACGCTGGATGTGGCTCTGGGCAGTCTGGTCTGATGGGTGGCGACCTGCACACAGCAGGGGGTTGGAACCAGATGAACATTGTGCTCCTTTCAACCCAGGCCATTCTATACAATTCTATGATAAATTGCTGCTTCCCCTGTGCCACAGGCCTTCTGTCCATGGGGGTTACAGAAGGAAAGGGAAGTCAGGCTCTGTGTAGCACCCTCCAGTTCACAGAAGCAATGGGAAGCCTTGATGATAGCCTAAATTCACGTACGTCCCAGCAATCACTATGGCATGGGTGACACGTGAAACACCAGCTGTAGGTCTGGCATGCTTAATTTCTTCCCTTGGCAGCACAGTCAACCACTGGGGGTAGATTTAATAACTTGCTACATGTAGTGGACACAAAGGAACAAATCTGCAACTTGTCTCCAAAGGGACAACACACACACACGGTGACAGCTGAAAGCATTATTTATAGCATAGTGGCACAAGACTACTGAGTTTACTCATGACTGTACTAATTAGTCAGCAATTATAATGATGTAAGAGCATCTGGAATCCAGACTAGCACATTTCAGTATTTTCCATCCATCCCATCCTCATCAAACAAAAAAACAAGCGTTGAAAAGACAAGTACCCACAGACGTGCTATGGAGTGCATGGAATTCCATCATTGCACAGCACTTCTGGTATCAGTGCTCAGAACCAACTGAGTTGGGTTAATCAGTAATTAATTACTCAAGACCCTGTTTCTCTCACTGGCAGTGGCTTTCTCCAGCAGAGGGCACTCAGCTCCCACGTCCCCAAAATCCCACCCTTGGCAATCTGAATCTTATCCTTGGGCTCACCACTTACCTATGGACGTGCATGTTTTAGAAAACAGAGCTCTAATACATGCTACATATTGAATGGAAACACGTAGGAATAACTGCAAGGTTCTGCTTCACAGTACAGACATTTTCTTACTGGGAAGGAAGACGTGTGAGATCATCTCACTAATCACACTGTGTAAGGAAATGCTGATCTCTTTGTACGCTGCCTTCCCTTCTCCACGTACACACAGGATGTAAGGTGACAGACTTATCTTTTTAAGAGCATACAGATATAACCAAGGGTTCTTTGAGCCTTATGTTTCACACCTGCCTCAATGACCTCACTGGTTGCTAGTGAGCATGTCCTTTAACCTGCAGTTAAGATTAAGGCCCTTGTTGCTCCGCTCAAATCCTCTTTCCCATACAGAGGAAACACCTTGCTGATAATAAAGGAACCCAGAATCGGCTTCATACAGAAAAGAGAGAAAATCTGAACAGCTGCCAGTGCACACAGACAGCAATGGCTCAGGCATGGCACACAGAGCAAGGGCTGCTCTGCTCGAGTTGTATTCGTGTTACAGCTCTTACCTGCAGCCTCTGTGTTACGAGCTCAGTGCCACTTTGCTCTCCTGGGGTCTTTTCTTTACATAATACTTAAATTATTGTAATTAAATACTTGATGATGCTGTCTTACAACAAAGCTCATGATTTTACTGTTCGTACTGAGTGCAGCATCTCCACCATCCTGCCTTTCAGAGGACTCAGATTCATTGTGTCTCCTGTCTAGAACGTGGGCTACAGCACCGTGTGATCAGACTCTCCCCTTGCTGACAGGTTTCAAGGGTTTGGTTCTGCATTGAATTCTGACAACAAAAGCAAAATCACACACTGCAAACTATATGCCAATAAAATCTGCTTTAAGCAGTGGGGGGAAAAAAAGGAAATTCGAAGTGAATTATTTCAGAAAGCCTTCAGAAACTGAATCCAAACAGAACGCTTCCTGAAAGGTAACAGTAATTAGTGTTCTCCATAAATGATTTATCCGACACGAAAGCGATGCAGTTACCAAGTCAAATAACAGTTTACTCCTAATGATTATGTCAGGGGAGTAATAAGCAGGCTCCAAGTCTGTTCTGCACCACAGCTAAGGCAGAAAGATGACAAAGTGCTCTGGGACAGAGTCTTCCAAATAAGATCCTGACAGGCCGGGTGCATTACAGACAAATTTCTGGAGGCGCATGGTTAGAACAGCGCAGGCCGATGAAGGCAAAGGTTATTGAGACATTTAAACCTTCAATTATATTTCTGGTTCAACTCCCATTGTACACTGCAGTTACAGTTTATATCTTATTATATTTTTACTAGGTACAAAAGTAAATAATTAATCTGAGCCACTAAAGAGATCGGCAAAGATGATATTGAACCCTTGGATAGCTCCGGGCTAAATGAAGAATGGAACATGTTCACATAGTTATGCAGATTACATTCTGCTCTTAACAAGCTATCCTCTATCTGCCTTTAGAGCTCACGCAAACTGCACCTGTAATTTTGCCGTTGGCTTCGGACGGAGGCTGCCAGTTCACTATGATGGTCCGAGGCTTTCCCTCTTTGCTCACCACAGTCACATCCTTGGGAGGTGAAGTAGGAACTGCAAAGAAACGGAAAACGAGCCGTCAGAAACAGCGTGCCCCATTTCACTGGATGGAAGGAACCTCAGCACCTTCTCTTTTTACTGGAGAAAGGCACACGCAATAATAAAACCCCTTCAAACCAATCTGCCATCCTGGTGCAGTGGCAAAGGCCAGCTGGAGCACAGCACTGCCATACCATGGGAGGCCCCCCTGTTCCTAAAGCCTTTCTATTGACAGGTGCTGTGATTCATGACCCAATGAGCACAGGTGTCTTCAACATAACGCTGTCTTTGCAGCAGCTGGGATCTGTGACTTCTAACACGAGTTTGTTCAGACATCAGGAGAATTACATCAACTTGTGGAATAAATACATGCATATGCAGAGACGTAAGAAATATCTCCACATTTTCAGGTTTATGGTGAGACCAACAGCTGGTAACATCAAATCTGAATCAGTAAAGCAAATCCACCAGTGGTTTCGAAGCACCACCTGCAAGTCCCACCTTACTGAACCTAAGGTTTGTGATTTGCAAGGAAACGTGCACCACAGAAGCATCTGCAATCCAGAAATATTTGGAGAATGATCATCCAACATTTCCTCTTGTGTTTCCAGAGAGCAAAGCAGAGAAAGAGCAGGAGAGAGGAGGAACTTTCTGCTCCCACCAGCCCCCTCCTGCTGGAAACTCAGGAAATGGCACAAACCACTGCAGTGCAAGACTGAAACCTGAGCCCTTTTTTGCTCAGAACAAACATCCAGCTGGGGCTTGGATTAATGGCTTTCAAATGCATGGAGCCGGCCTCCAAAGGTGCATTAACCAGCTACATTTGGAACGCCACACTATAAAAAAACATGAGACTTTTAATTAGGTTACTTTTAGCAAAGTAAATCTGCCTCGGATATTTAATACCAGCATAGGAACATTTAGTGCTTACGCAGTGTTTTTCACATTGGAAGAGCTTTATGTGTAGTACCTATTAGAAATTAATCCACACATCCTCTGAGCTGGCTGCCTGTTAGCTCCATGCAGAATAATAGTTGGAAAGCAGGGCTGGTAAAAGTAAAACTTGAAAATTCCTGTAATTATTGTCCTAAGGACTTAAAAGCACGCTCCTCAGAAAGGATGTAAAGCTTGAACTGAGGCCCTGCAGCGAGCTGCAACACACACACAAAGCAGGGCTGCAGCACCAGCCCTCCCTCCAGAGATCCATACAGCACACACCAACTCTGACAGCAGCTATCCCAGACCTCTCTTTAGCATCAGTCGGGGTGAGAGTCCTACACAGCACTGTGAGTCATGAGTATTCAAAAATAATGAGTCACACACTCAGGAATTTGGCAAGTAATATAAATCACAAGATCTGTAATGAGAAAACATACTTAGCCTATTTTTTTTTCTTTTTTTTTTTTTTCTCCTTTGCCTTCTAGTTCCCAAGCTTTCAAGTCATGTTTGCAGATGCTCTTTACAACCTCCCCAGTTAGAAATGGACTTTTTATTTCAACAGAAAAAATGAAACTGTATCACTGTATCTCTCCTCCACTCCTGCACTTTCTGAGTTTCAAATTCCTTTTAAGATGTTTTTGTGTGCTGTTGCTGCTTTGAGCAAAGGGCTCTAAATGAGAGCTGCGTGTGTTGCCACCACAAGTACAGGTACAGCACTGTAATGCAAAGTAACTGGGGGGGAAGAAGCCTCCATGCTGGCTCCATGGCTCCAAGCTTTTCTATTTCTGGGGAGTGCATTCTTGTTTCAGAGCACTGGATGACCTGACCAATTCTTCATGTGCTTGATTTTTTTGCTAGATTTTAATCAGGTAGCAGAATTGCTGGGTAATTTGAATATACTCTTTCTTGCCCTTCCAGTTCAAATACACAGACCCAACAGCACAGCAAGCAGTGGGTTTAACAGCACAAAGGCCATTTCACCCCGTGGGATGGCAGGGGCTAACGAGGGGCAGGGCCCTGCAGCTGCACTACCAGAGCATCACTGCCACAGCAGGGGAAGTACAAAGCATTGGTGGAGAAAAAGGCTTTCGGCCTCATTTGGATGTCTGAATTTCTGGTTTTTGATTCACTTGCCTCGTGCACTTCTTCACTGTAATGATTATCATCATATGTATACCAAGTTTTAATTATTATTTGCTAAATCATTTTCTTTGTATTTGCTATTAGCACAGTGTTTGTGAGATGTTCCAAACGTATGCTGCTTCACTCTCCTGTCTGTGAACTGTGGTGCATTATTCATTACCTCGCTGTAATTTGATGTAAATTTTTTTGCACGCAATCATCCCTTTGAATTCTGGAGTACGCTGTTTTTTAATCAGAATTTCTGACCAAATCCCAGCAAGTATTCATCAGTATAATCATCCTAAAGGCACGCTGCTCCTCTGGCAGGATTGTGGCAGACAAGAGTTGGTGCATCTCATCAGGAACGCCAGCCCTTCCCAACACACAGATGAGTACCTAGTTCAAAAGTTGTCCCATGGGCTGTCATACTCCACGTGCTCGACCTTCGCCCCTTAGTCACCATCACGGAGAATTCATACAAGGTGTTTGGTTTTAAGCCAGTCACTAAATAGCTCAGAGTGGTCGCGTTGGCCGTCTGGAAGAAAAACAAAGCATCAGTAACTCCTGAACTGAGAGCCATCCACCACCAGCTCCAGGCTGCCCTCTCTCAGGAGCGTGTTTAAAGCACCTCGGCATCGCTGCATTTCATAACCACCGTCATTAATTCACTGACATTCTGCTCTGTCATGCAATTCATTAATCAACTGTTAATCTGCTGTTGTTTCAGCCTGAACTAGAAATTCCTTCTGCAATCAGCAAGAGCGTCTAACAGCAGCCAATTCTAAATTAAAAAAAAATAATAATCGTATAAGAAATGCAAAGCAATACGAGGTCCTGGGCACACTTGTTATGCAGCAGGCTGAACCACTGCCTGCTGGGGGGCGGTAATTTACAGCATTTCATTAACTGATGGAGCTAGGGAAAACAATGAAGCACGGCCAACAATAGAGGCCCTTCCTGAAGCCTGCATCTTCCTCACTAAATCCTGTCAACATTTTCATTACATTTCTAACACACGTTACAAATATATACATCAACTGAAGGTACAGGTGCTGAGAGACATGAAGATAATGAAGCTTTAGGGGTGGGTTTTTTTTTCCAGAAAGAACTGTTATTTGGGATCAAACACTGAAAGGTGCATACAGCTCAGCGTGATCTGTAACTGCCATTAAAGGAGTAAATTCTCAACCTTTACTGCCTGACAGGTGTTATACAGGACTTGAACACAAGCAGAATGTATTTGGGGCCTACAAAACAAAAGAGTTCTGCATCTGTCTGCATTGCTTACCTTGACCTGCAGTAATCTAAACGCAGAATTACAGTTGCTCCAAAGTTTGACAGGGTCATACAACAACAGTTTTCAAATAATTCTTTTTATCGAGGAAGAGACCACCTATAAATGCACATTCCTGGAAGTCTCGTAGAATAATACAGCCCAAACTTGGCAGAGAAAACCCTTATTTCTCAAGTGCACAATGACAGCTTTTTCGTTCCACCACGGAAGCTCAGAAGGCTGTCAGCCGGGCGGTACCTGAACGTGTGCCGAGCGCTCTGCCTGGTCACAGGGGTGCATTTTGCCAGTTAAGACATCACAGGGGTTGACAGACCGTAAAGATATCATAAAACTACTCAAAACCAAATCCTCCATTATCTTTAAACCTTTACTTTTACAAAATTCAGTGTCATTTCAAAGCAGAAGTGATTACGGCTGAATGGTTTGAATGCTTAAGCGCAGAGCAGGACAGTTCTATTTGCTAGTGACAAAGCCTCCCTGTGCAAGCAGGAGCCACGTGGTCAGAGCAGCTCTTCCCCATCTGCCCAGCAGCCCCCCTGGCTCTACGCAGTGCCAAGGGGAAATCAGGGATGCTTCAGTGGAAGCTACAAAAACCTTTGGCCTGGACAGTGAAGTAGTGACATGTCCTAAAGAGAAATTTTCTCCCCAAGGCTGGTTTGATGAGCCTGCAAAGCATCCCTGTGAAGCACACTGCTTCCTCCTCTCTGGGGTCTGCAGAGATCCCTAACACCATCTCAGCTTTCCATTCTGTTCTTAAGATCACAGTATAACCCTAGCACCAAACCCTGCTCACGTGCTAGAAATAAATACCATCAATACTGCTCTGTAAAATAGATTTTCTTTCATACAGTCCTCTAAGATCCACACAAAGATTTCATATTTTAGCAACACAAATCACAGGTAGCCCTGCTGCACCACAAAGGCTCTTTGCGAAACGCTCTGATCCACATTAGCGCAGCTACGTGGCTCAAAGCACAGAGAAGTCTTTCAGCTTCTGCTTCCATGCTGATGTGCCCCACACTGACACAACTCCTGCACAGACTGCAGGCAGCACGGCTGGTGGAGCTACGAACGTGTGCTTGGTGCAAGATGCACCTTCCTTGGGAAATACCCGCGGGATGTCAGTACAGAGGGTAGGAGCAAATATACACAGCTCTGAATGCACTCCATCAACGTGCAAATTACTGAGGAGAGAGGCAGATGAAAATACCACATGGGAGAGACAGAGCTGTGGCTACTTGAGAATGTCCTGAAGAGATCTGTGCACCAAGCAAACGGCCTCAAAGCATGCAATGCCCAGCGAAGTTGCCAAGGAGCAGCTACAGGCTTGCCCAGAGTTAAGGCAGTTACCAAAGAGCTGACTGAAACACAGCAGCACATCTGTGACATGGGTTCTGCCTGCATCAATGTTACCACTTGTTATTGCTCAACCGAGCAGCACAGATCGTGCCTTTAAACAAAAGGAAAAGGCAGAAGTGAGTTCTGCAGACATCATGCTGCAGGAACAACGATGTAGGGCAAATGCTGTCATACTTCTGCCCTTTGAGGCCAACGCTTTTTAAAACGAGGAATTCTGAACCATATTCCATCGTTATGTATTTATTTTGGGTCAGAGTAAAACTTTTCGGCCCCTGGCTGCCATCACTGGGAACAGTGGGAGTACTGCATTTACCAGCTCTTAACTAATGAAACTGCAGCATTGTATAAATCACTCCTGAGACATCCTCTGCACATGCCTTGGGAATGCGGGCTCATAAATAACTTGCCTTTAGAGGAGGAACACACATACATACATCTTCTCATTTCAATCAAAAAAAATATCTGGTTTGTAACAAGATTGCTTTCTAAGAGCATAAAGGGATCTCCACACGCCGGAGATTTTAACAACCCTTTCCTCTGAGTCTCATTTCCAGTGTGAAACTTGCAGTCAGCACTTTCTGAGGCCTCCAAATAGCTCTGGAAATTAAAAAAGGCAACCAACCGACTAAGATGACCCAAACCAAAACACCCAACCCCAAATCTACTCTCCAAATCAAGGCAGGCAGCAACATGATATCGTTATTATTAAGTCTTTTGCACCCACTCTGTTCCCAGAGGGATGTTTCACAAACTACGTGGCATGAACAGAAATGGTTGTAAAAAGGGAAAAAAAAAAAAAAAAAAAAAAGGAAAAAAAAAAAAAGACTTTAAACCATAAGAACAAATATTTGCCAGTCGGAGGGGGTGCATGAGTCACCACACACCGCCAGCCAGCCTCCTCTGCTAACTGGAGGAAAGCCATCAGCAGCACGTACCTCATCGACGTGTTATTGGCTCCTCTACAGGTAAGCCACACAAAGCCATCAAGTCAAAGTAAGGCAGAAAGAAGGAAATGGTCACCATGTCTGCAGCTCCACAGCAGAACGTCGTTCTGGAAGTGCCTTCCTTCCTTCCATTTCTTTTCTTCCTTCCCTGACTCCATTCTTGCACTCATACCCAACACTCTACCACAACCCCAGGAGCACCTCTGTTGATTTAACAGAGCACCACTGCTGTGAGCACATTCCAGCCACCTCAGACAAAACCAGGTTCGCATCTACACTAAGCACTACTCTCAGCTTTAGCTCAGCCCTAAGTAGAACACGAAACTTCTCATCACAGCATCCCAGCCCTGATAGTGCTGTTGAAACGCCGGTACCTTGTACTTTGTATTTGCAGGAATATTGGTTTTCCAGCGAACTGTGTAGTAGCGAGCATCCGTGATCTTCTGGTTCTTTGGCAGAGAGTTGTCTGCCCAAGTGATCCGTATGGTGTCATGGCTCAGAATGGAAGCCTGAACTCCCACCGGTGGCATCATGGGAGATGGATCTGGCACTGGAGTGTATGGAGCATTAATAACAAACAAATCAACTTCGGAAGTGTCTAGGGAATTGATGGGTAAAAAGTCGTGTATTATAATTAAAAAGGGAGAAGGTGGCATTATAACGTAAACAAAAACAACAAAAAAAGGGGGAAATGCGGGGTAATATAATGAAATGAGAGGTGAGGAATGGAGAAAAAGAGAGAAAAGCCAGAGTTAATAGGTGACATAAGGCTGGTATTACAATAACTGTTGCATAGTGTTCCCTCAAGACAGTGATGACATATCTGTGCTATAAAGTTTGCCACCCAATCACTAGCGCTGAGCGCATTCAATCACAGCACTAAGAATCCCAAGCATGCAGTAATTTCAATTTTGAATTTATTTCCCTCAGAACGTCCACTTGCAGAAAACAGTGTGGAGGAAGTAGAGCTGGACTACTTCTGGTGGGTAAACGTCACTCCGAAAGAGTTACTGCCATCAGCTTTTAAAGAATGTTCATGGCAGGCACGTTCTATGTGCCATGCAAATTTGCAATAAGTGAAGAAACTGCAATTCCAGTGCCCTCTATAAAATCTATCAGAATTATTGCTTTTCAGCAAATTAAAGCAAACAGAAGCGTTAACATCTGTCCCACAGGACTAAATAATGCCAGCAGTCTAGCAGGGAGCACAGCGAGCCACACAGTAGTAAAAGCTCACTTGCAAACAAATTTATCTTTGTATTAATGTGTTACAAGATGAAAAACAACTAAGCCAAGAACTTGTTTAATCTAAGTTATGCCAAACTGAGACTCAGACAAAGGAAATGCATGCACCACATTCAAAATCTCAAAGTAAAGACACACGCTAAAAATCTACACTTGCCCCCAAGAACAAAACAAGAGCAACACCCATTTGTGCTAACTTAATGGTTAACTTTTCAAATAAAAACATCTGTAAGCTGTTCAAAGATGCATTTTGTAACCAAAAAATGAAATCATTTTTAGTTGGTTTAATAAGCAGAAGAACCATGCAGAGCAATCACTGAAACAGTAAGGCCAATCAGTTATAGAAATGGAGAGCACTTGATGACACCAAAACCCAACACTCCTGCATTAGAAATAATGGCTTTTTCAGCTGCTGTGCAGGAGGCACGCTGGCAGCTCTCAGCAGGGCAGAACACAGAGGCAGCCCCTGGTCCTTACCTGAATGAGGCCTGGTCACTGCGCTCTCGTAGAGAGGAATTCCTTCCCCAACATTGTTGAATGCTTTCAGCGTTATGACGTAGTGTGAGCTCGGGTCTAAAGGAAAAAAAAAATAGTATGGCTTTAGTACAGACTGTTAGTGCATCCTCTTTTTTGCCTCTATGCTTTCTCTGCTTTGTTCAATTTTTTTATTTCATGTATTTTTGTTAAAAAATAAGAAGTTTGAAGTGAGAAAGTCTCCACGCAGACCTTCCTTTACTGTGCAATAGCTCTCCCGTAGCAGATGTCTAGAGTCACAGCACTTCTACCTTAGGTACAGCCAAGATAACAAAACAAAGAAAAACCCTTCAAAAATTTCAGGTTGCTCTACTGCAGCATTATCCAATGCCCTAATTTTAGAGAACTTCCCAATCCTAATATTTATTTTGCTTTCAGGCTATCTTGCCTACCACAGAGAATTCTGTGGCAGGATTACCCTGTATCTCTCTTTCAAAGCAGATGCCACCATATCCTGGTGACATGTTAGTTTCTTTTTTTGCCTGAAGCCACCTGTTCACAGCTCCAGAAGGAAAACAAGGAAAAGCTGCTCTGTGTCAAAGTTTATGTTTGTCATTGATGAAGGCAACACACTTTGCTTCCAGCTCAGCAAGTTCAGGATTCTGGGTTTTTTTTTTGCTCTGCCATTTCCTCCATCAACAGAGAACTGAGTTCATTTCAAACTTATCAATTGTTTGGTTTCCCAACTTATTGCCTTCATAATGATAAAGATCCTCTTAGAAGACATGCTTGCAGTTTTATAACTTCATACCACGATTGAAAAACAGCAACATGCAGTGGAGGTGAAATCTGGGTGCTGACGTTAACCTGCTTTCCTTACCTAAGTTTTCAATGGTGTAGTATCTCTGCTTGTAGTCCACCTTGATGGTCTGTGCATGAGGACTGCCGATGCCATACCCTATGGCATAACCTCTCACCACAATGTTCTGGTTCTCAGGTGGAGTCCAGCTTACCACAATACTGGTGACCAGAGGACGGACGTGTAAGGAGCTCGGAACTTCAGGAACACGGCTTTCTGTTGAAGGAAAACGGTGGATTTAGAGGATTTCTCCTCAATAAAGGTAATTACGTGAAGAACTGTAAACTAATAAGGTCAAATGCAGCACTTGTACTCTGCACATGTATTAAAATGGGTGTGCTCCAAAGGAGAGAGCTTTACTGTACAAGAGAGAGCAAAGAGCTCTCTAATAAGCAGATGAAAATTAACTAATACATTTTAACAGACACCCTTTTAAAAGCACCTGACTGTCATACTGAAGAAAAGCATCAGGTCTGCTTCCAGGCAGACTTTTCTGATGTTTCTGCATGTTCTTCCCAATTTTAATTTTTCAAAAATATGCATTCAGTTTATCACATCCTGTCCACAAAGCAATCTGCTTTGAGCTCCGTCATATTACTTACTGTGGGCACTAAATAATTATCTTGAGAACACAGTCACGTCCAAAGGAAGGTGCCTGAGCTCACTGTAGGACTAAATAGAACATTCCAAAGCTCAAACCACTGTCACTAAACTGCCTGCAGAATTTTTGGCAAAGGTCTTCTGTCGTTTGTCCTGTACCACCACTATCCTTGTCACTGTGTGGGTCCTGAAGTCTCTTCTACATAACTCACAAAACATAGACAGGTACTTCACATTCATCCCACAAGCATGAAACAATAGATGCTTGAACCCTACCCCTATGAGCAACACAGATCTAATTGCAATCCAACAGCGAGGTGGAATCGGGGCCCTTAGAAACAGAAGGACTGATGTTTGTGAGATGTGACTGCAGTCCCCCAGCATTCTTACTAGAAAACTTTGCCCCAGTGTTGAACATAGGCAAAAGCAAAGCAAAAGCACAACTGCACACACTGACATCCATGCCTTGCTCTTAGCTTCTCAGAAATGGGGTAACTGCTTCTGTCAGGCTGCTGGAGCCCACTGTATGCTAACAGACAGTTTGCATTTTGTGTAACAGTAAGTTGAGTTCCCCGCTCTAAAATAAACTGTTCAGAGTGTTCTGCTTCCTGCAGAGATTTCCTTTTAATGAAACATGCAGCATTTATCTACAGGCATTTAATAAAACACCACAGCAGTATTACTTGGATCATAATATGCCCATGGCCTGCTTGCCAAGGGAGTTTATGGTCTCCAGCTGACACAGATGATCAATTAAAGTTCACCACTCTTAAATACAGAAAAGCTACAGAATTGCAACAGAAGAGAAGCTGTTTTTAACTGCACGGAAGCCACTGCACTGGGGATAAACTTTATACAATTCTTTAACAGTCCCTGTGTATGAGCTCCTGGTGGGTCCTGCGCCAGCCCTGCAGAATGCCCCACCAGCACAGACCTGTAATGGGCTGCTCCTGTTGGCACTGATGGCACTATGAAGTTCATTATACTCTACTTAAATTCAAAAGCAGACAGAGTGGAGAGGAATGAAATGTATGCACATATATTGAACCTGAGAAATTAAACATGAGCTGTAAATATGCTCTGTGTTATTAAATATACCCACATGAGCTTGTTAGGGAAAGGAAAGCAAAACATCCACATCTCCTTCAGTCTGGGGAACAAGTGGTTTCTCAAGTTGCAAGGCTGTGTCACATCCAGTTAGAGGACGACAGCCACATACACAAGTCATTTCATCTCTAAGAAGCAAATTCTAAATAGCTACAAAACCAAATTCCACAGTTAGCATTAGTTTTTCTGCTGCTCCTGATTAAGCAACAGAGAGGGGAAAAAAGAGGACAAATATTGAGTTGAGCATCAACTTTGCATAACACAAAGATTGAAAAATGGGCTCTCCGAGGGGCAGACCAGCTGACTGCTGAAGCAATCTTCCAGCAGCACAGAACAAACACTGGATTTCTTTCACAATTCCATCTTCCAGCTGCTGCCACAACTGAATCTCCAGTCACATAGAGGTGACAGACATCACTGGCATTTTGCACCATTAATTCAGAAAGAATGACCTCAAGCTCCTTCCTAACACTGCAAAGAGGGAGTCTGGCCTGCAAGAAGCAGAAGGTAACTTTTGTTCAACAAAACCAATCAAATGCTTGTTCAGAATGAGAACGGGCTTGTTCTACCTTTATTGGTAACCTCTGCATGGTTCTGTACACCGCATATCATGAATCTATGGCTTTGACGGAGAAGTCTTCATTTCTGATAGAAGATCAGCTCTATACTAGCTGACCAGCACTGAAAATCAATCTTCTTTTTTTTTTTTTTATAATCACAGAATCACAGACTCTCTAGAGTTGGAAGGGACCTCAAAAGGCCACCTAGTCCAGCTCCCCTGCAATGAACAGGGACACCCACAGCTATAACGGTGCAAGTTAATGGGGATCAAATGCTCTCTTTAGAAATTATAAGGAAGTCATAAAGAGAGGAAGAATATTTCAACAAAGCAGTACCAATAAAACACAGTGGTAATGTTGCAAAGCCCTGGAGGTAAAAGCGATGCTTTCTATCATTCCTTTCCTACCATGGCATCTCTCTTGTGTTCAGCAAAGTTTACATTTGGACCCCAGCTCTGCAGCCCTCGTGCAGACACTGTGCAGGCTCCATGCTGCAGTCAGCAGGCCCACAAGTCAGCCACTGTGTTGCTGAATACCAAATCACCACCTTCAGAACTCTGAGGCGTGCGCCGATGGTTTCATTAGCATAATTTAGGTGCTCCAGCAATGCATAATCATTATTTTGCTTCCCTCCAGGAAAACAGTCCTCCTACCTCCACCTCGTAGCGTGTGAACATCTTCATGATTAACGAGATGAATTTTATTACAATATAAAATTCAAGGCATTATTATTAGATAAATCTTATCTTGTATTATTATTTAAATATTGAACCACTGGCACTGGCATTCAAAATTGGGTTTTTCTTGATAGCAAAAATATACAGTTCTCAAAAGTGTAGAAGCAGAATTTGTGCATAAGCTGTTTTATTGACTTGGTAAGAATTTCATGATAGAAAAAGAAATTAATTCCACTTAATCGTAAATAAAACACGTCACAACACTAGAAAATATTAAAGCAACTCAATAAAACCACCTTTTCCTTTTAAAAAAGCAGTCAAACCCTACTGTGCCCTGGCCTTGGTGTCACAAATACCTCCACACTTAATATCTTACCATCTAGATCGCTCTCAAATGTTTCTGCTGACACCCAGTCAGTAGCTGGCCCAGTGCCATTCACAGTCATGGCAGCTATCCTGAAGTTGTACTCCGTGCCTCGTTCAAGACCTAGGAGATAAAGAGCAGCCCAGGTGTCACAACAGCAAATCCCAACCACAAGCACGGGAATCACAATTAAAGTACAGCTATAACCTGGTAGTTAGAAAACTTTTCACCCCAGCAGTGCCACTCAAGCACAGCTTGAGGTCAGGATGGAAACACCGCTGCCAACTCCAGTAAGGAAGCTGACACTGCTTACAGTGCAGAGCTGTAACCAGAGCTGGGACTCTCCAAGGATCGTCCCCATAGGCCACAGGCAGGCACTGCAGAGTCCCATCTACAGCAAGCTTTAATTTCTGGATGCTAATAGAGGAGAACCACCCACAGCCATAACTAAGCACAGATGTACAGTACAGACAGCAATTGACCAAAACATACCACGAGTTTGTTTGCAGTATATAAGAGTGCATAATCAATAATCAAAACAATAAGAAAATGCACTCAAATTTTATACACAGACTGTCTTAAACAGGCCCTTGTTGCTGCTAAAAATGCGCTCTGCTAACGGGCACCAATCAGCTCTGACTCTAGGAGGAAATAAACATTATTGAGTCACAGGTGGAGCTTCTGAGAATACAGCATGAAGCACTTTCTGAGCTGCCTAATTGCTTTGTAAGAGGCACAGCTTGATCAGCTGTTCATGGCCAAAACCTAGGTTTGCTCCTCTCCTTATGCCCCGTTACCACTACACCAAATTGTTGTTCTAGCAATAATTTATCATTTATGCTAAGTACTGTAGTAGGCTGAATTTCTGAAACATACAAAAATAAAGAGGGGACAAATTATTACATCATTGCCAGAAAGAAGGACAAACGCTGACATATAAGAAACTATGTGGCATGATTTGTACAGATGTCGGAAAGAAGTTCACATGACTGATTCAGGCTTGTGGGTGAGCACTGCAAGAGACAGAGCACACCTACATTCCGTCCACAAACAAACAGGTGAGCTTGCAAACATCCAGCCTGAGAGCATTTCTTTGGCATCGTTATCCATACTTCCATTTCTGCCACTCACACAGTGAGCTCAGGACCATCCACTCCATGCAATCTCTATACCTTTATAGAATGCTTTATATACCTATATAGGAAGGTTTGGAAAGAGTTTATTTGCTCCACATAGAAAACCAAAGGCAGCATTAGGGCTGGAAAACAGGTTGCTAGACCTGTTGGGCTGTCAAGGGCTTGCAAATAATCTCTCACCTTCAATTAGCTGGAAAAGCTGCGTCCCCCCGACGCTCTCACTCACATCACTCTTACGGGACACTTTGCGGTAGCGGATTTTGTAGCCGGTGATTTGGCCGCTGTGTGTCCCCGCAGGAGGAGGCTGCCAGTGCAGCATGATGCTCTGCGGGAGGCAGGAGGCGTAATTACAAACTTGTTGCCTGCTGTGCAGCCAGAAAAACTACGCAAGTGCTAATACTTGGTGAAACACAAGACAGATAAACTGGCACACAGATATATGGCGTTTTCATGGATGTGAGACGTGCTATCAGTAAAAAGGACAACAAAACAACAATCGCAATTCAGCAGCAGCACAGGTCATAAAGGCGCCTATGGAAGTTCAAGTCAAAGCGCTTCAATTCCTGTTGGACTTTCTGGTTCCAATTTCACAAAGTCCTCTTGGGCTTCCCTTTCATTTTCTTTGAGTTACAGGAAGATATGGTTTCCTTAGGAGCTATCCTTAGGAACCGAGATTTTCTTCAAAGGGTGTAAGATACCTGAACAGTGGTTTGTGTGCATGACACTGCTGGTTTTTGATCATACAGCTAGCAACGAAAGTACTGGGAAAGAAGTTTAGAAAGAAAAGAGGTTTTTTTCAAATCTTCAATCATAATCACCAAAGTCATAGAGGATAAGTATGTAATTTTCTCTTCTAAGGGGCCCAGGACACTGTAAGCATGCATATGTGTGCACAAACCGTAAATAACAGTTAATCACCAGGAACACACTCAGGTGCTGGTGCTTCAGGCTTTTGTGCCCAATTATACCCCTTTCACAACTGAGCTCCATGCTTTGCCTCATTGTCACTGCCTCTGCTGCATCCCATTATGCACAATCCACAATTGGACAGGAGTTTCTAATGCTTCACATCCCACATTCAGATACCCTCCTGCTGGGCCTCTCATACACACACAGCTGAAAAGCAGCACGGCAGGGAAAAGGCCCAAAGCAGCTCTACATTCTGGCTGATCAGACACCCAGCCTTTCTTTTACCCATTACCAGCAGCAAGTTCTCCCCAGCTTACCTTGGAATTTCGCACCTCCAGCGTTAGATTCTGTGGTGCAGCACTGGGAACTAGAAACATTAAAGGAATTACAACTGAAAAAATGCCATATAATATACCCTGTACTCTATTTCCATATACAACTACTGTCTGCTATCATTCATTACAAAATCACGATCCATTCTGGTTTAAGGCACTATATAAAATCATTTAGAATTTCGACCAGGTGTACTTTTGGACACAGTGACTGTTTGGCTTGGGAGAGTGACTTATTTTCATTGCAGAAGACAAACACACTTTTAATTCAGGTCTTTACTTATCATAGGAACCCAAATAAAAAAAGCTTTATAGGTAAAGGTACTTCCCCCCAACTCTAACAAGACAGATCATGTTCAGCACTTTTCCAAACCAAGGCTTTCATTTAGATATTTGATTCTGGGAATCCACATTTAAAATTCCAGCCATGCTTTCTGTGTCGTGACTTTCTGTAACAGGAAGACCTCAGAGCCAAGATGTGCCGGTGCTGCTGAGAAGCATGGAGGTGAAGTGCAGCACAAAGATAGTTTTGCTTCTCCATCTCCATTCTTTGCTAGCTTTCTCCTGGCTGTAGCAGCAGCTTTCTGGTCAGCACAGTTCAAATCCACTGTGCAAAAAGGCTACTCAAGAGAGAAACTGAGACCAAGGAGATCCTTGCTGCAGCTCTCCAGAGGTGAAAGACTCACAAATGTTATCCCAAAGGCATAGGTAAGTGTTCCCTAACAGGAAGCCAAGACTCCAGCAAAGCACAAGAACAGGGAAGTAGTACAACAGGGCTTGAGGCCACAACAATACATTTTCCAGATAACCCATGCCAGTCCAAACAATACCAGAGAAAACAAACCTGAGTGCATAAGGTGTGTTAAGGGAAAGGAGCAGCAGGGGTGGTTTAATACCCCATTGCCACTGCAAAAATGTAGACAAGAACAGCTCATTTTTCCTGAGAACACCAGACCTAGGGAGGAGGTGCTATACCTTTAAAAAGCAAGAACACCAGGTTAAGAGGAGGAAATGAAATAAAGCCAAGACAGTTTTTGCTGTTCTTGTTTTATTCGGCTTTTGCCTGCTTTCAAGACAATTAAAAAAAAAAGTCTGGGTTTCACAAAGTGTGAATAATGCATGTACTGCAAACTTGGCAAGAGAAAGACAATCAGTAGGACACGGGAAAGGCTACACAACATGAATACACACAAATACATGCATGTCACAGGTGCACAATTCGTCTTCTGTCAAAGTAAGCCTAAAATCTATTAGTGTGTAATGCTGAGGTGGTATTTCTAGTTGTGATAAAGTCTGTTTCCTACAGACCAGGAACACTATGAGAAGAGAAGCACACCTTACGAGCAGCACACAAATCCCAGTTCAATTGTTGTACCCAAAGAGCTGGTCGTTCTGCAACAAACCATCATAACACACTTAGATTAGGAGCAGGAACCTACATAAAAATGAGGAAGGTTGCTAAAAAAGAAGCTAAAGCTTGCTAAGAATGGAACATTTACAGGAGATACATACAGAGAGCATGGTAAGAAGTGAATGTACATTGTTCATCTAGAAAGATTTGAGAGAGTGAGAGAACAGCATGGATAAGCAGCAGGGCTATACAGCTGTTAGAAGCAAGATGACATCCTTTAGGAAGCTGTAGAAACTACATTTTAACAGGTTCAGCGTGGAAGCATAAGAATGGAACGATCACATAAGTTACAAGCTGTAACTTGGATGCTGAGAGATAGCAATCGTGATGCTAATGTGTAAAGGAGGTTCTGGTGGAGAGAATGCTGGAGACTTCAAGTAATAAGCCAGAAATCTGTGTGAGACAAATCAAAACTCAAACTATAATAAAGTGTGCAATTCAAAAATGCATGGACAAATATGGCATTTGTCACTTTTTTTAAGGGGGGTCCTGCATTGCAAAGCTGGTAGAGAGCTCTTCGGTGAGGTGACAGCGGGATAGGAGGGAAGTGGCTTGTCTGAAGTGGCTAAAAGGGGGGAGGAAAGAGAAGGTAGGAATGGGCACAGTGGGCTGTGGCCAGTGGAGCTCCACCACAGTACATGCCAACACCACATTGCTAAACCCATCTGTAAGTGATGAAAGTGGGATGAACAGCAACATGAGAAGCATTAGTACAGACAGGATCTGCTGGTAAGAAACTGCAGAAAGACCTCAGGCTTGTTCCTAGATATTGAAGTGACATGAAACAGTTACACATGTGGGAAAAATGATCCCAACTTCACAAAGTGATGGCCCTAAGCATAGCAGTTCCACTAAAGAGGAAGATCTCTACCCCAAAAATGTAACCTCAGTGCTCAGAACAGGTCAAAAACAGCAGTCAGATGCTAGTAATTATACACTTGCATCTTCAATACTGTTCTGGTACCTCCAACTCCATTCGTAGAAGCACATAAGAGAAAAGAAACCTAGAAAGAAGAGTGGGACAGAGAAGGCTGATGGAAACTGATTATTCACTACTTCACACAGCTCTAGGCAACGAGTAAATGCTAACAGAGCAGGTCCAGAACAGGCTGAAAGGGAAGGATCTTTCACAGAAAGTTGAGCATCTCCACTGGATGCTGCGGATGGTAAGAGTTGACACTGGCTTAACAAGGATGCTGAGAGGCTTCACAGGAGGGAAGACAAATTTCTTCTTCAAGAGTGGTAAGGCATTGGCACAGACTGCCAGGGAAGTCCTGGAGTCACCATCCTTGGAAATTTTCAAGGACTGCAGAGACGTGGCACTGAGGGACATGGCTCAGTGGGCACGGTGGAGATGGGCTGACAGGTTGACTACATGATCTTAGTGGCTCTTTCCTGATTCTACACACAGTAACTACACAAAAACCACTGCAGAGCCAAGGAGTCCCACAGAAACAAACTGCACTCACAATTTGGATACTAATACCCTATTCTGCTTTTGATCAGTTCTGGAGAGAAGATTCCAGGCTAGGCTTGGTTTTGGTCTGATTGTTCTTATGAATAATTAAACTTCTGTCTAAAAAAAAAAGAAAAGCTAATTAAGCCTGATCATTCTACAATTGTTCACATATTTGTATTTGCTCACACTGGCTCCTTATTTGGCTTATAGAAAATGCTGTTACCACTTCCTGCTTTCAGGACTATATACAAAAGATTTAATAATATCTGTGCTGGAGACCAAACAGAGACATGCAACATTTTTCCAGATGACCACAATTAAAATAAAAACACTCCAAAGGCACGTATCTGCTCATACGTAACAAATATTATAGAAGCTAAAAGACAATTTGGAGTTGTAGGGTTCAAAATAATTGTGTTCCTGTCCACTCTTAAGACTTTGTAGGCCCAATAACCCATGAAATAAACTTCTGATGTTGAAATTAAGGACAGCATTGTTTTGCAATTAGAACACCAGATGCATTTGCAGGTATATTAATTTTCCTTCGCCCCATTTGGACAGCCTCAGGGGGAGCTTTCAGCATGCGTGGCCATATGCAGCAATCACATTATTAAGAAAACAGGGCAGCGCTGAACAAAACCCTAAGAAGTTTTTCTGGTTAAAAATCCTCTTAAATGAAATTACCACGTAATTCCTGCAGAAAGGCTTGGAATAAAGCAGCTTACCATCTGACAGCGTTCGCACAACAACATCTTGGGTAGAGACGCCAGGGCCGTGTTTATTGTAAGCCACCACTCGGAAACTATACTCGGTGTACTTCTTTAATCCAGTAATGGTGTAGGAGAGTCCTGCTACATCAACATCCTGTCCAGAAGCAAACATGCATACGAGTCGAGGTCAGAATCAGGTCTGCAATTGTCATAAACGTCTCAGGCTCAGAACAGTAATACTCAAAGTCAGAAGCAAGGAGGACAGTGCTCTGCAGAACAGCAGATGTAACCCACAGCCACGTGCAGCCAGGGCTTGCACAGATGCCAGCAGGGTGCTTGCAAGAGGAAGTTCTACATATTTGATTTAAATCACAACATGGGCACAGGTTCTACAGATGACACGGGATGCGGTGAATTTGCCTACTAGTAGAAATGACTGCTGCATTTTTAACAGTGGGAAGAAAAGGAGAGAGTTTTATCTGAAGAATGCACATTTTTACTTAAAATCTGATTGAGAAAGTTATTTTAAATGCTAACAAACTAAGGGGGGGTATTTGAAGCTGGAAACACATTTACAAGTCTATCATGTGAGAAATTAAATGACTGGGTTTAGCTCTCCCAAAGCTGTGATTATTTCTTAGGCAGCTCCTTGCACCAAGCATGCTGGATTCTCCCAGCAGAATCCTAAGAAAGTGTAATTAATTAGACACTCACCTGTATCAAAACAGCAATCACTGGATCAACGAACTCAAGAAGTGAGAATAGTTTAGATTCAGGAACAGATTAAAATCAGCAGTTATCCTACTTTACTAAAATAAAAGCAGCCAGCCTATAAAAATGATGCTGCAGGTATTATTTGATTCTTCAGAGCTTATTCCTTGCGATGTGATGGACATCCCCAAATGCCACTTGATGCTGAGTATGTAAGTAAGCCATCACCTAAAGGCTGCTTCAATTTTTACGCAAATACTGCAGAAAACATTCATGCTGGATGACAAAGCAGTTATTTAACAGACTGGATGTTTAATTTTAAATGTTTCTGCATTCTGGGCTAAAGGCTTCAGCCTGTCAGAAAAATAAGCACTTGGCAAGGTGTTTGTAAGGTAAAAGCACAATAAAGGAAAGAATGCTGGCACTGTTTATCACACAGAAGAGCCCCACTCCGTACCTGCTCACTGTCCTGCCCCTTCTCCATGTAGTAGAGCTTGTAGTTCTGGATTTCCCCATTGCCAGACAGCGGCGTTTCCCATGTGACAGTGACAGAGGTGGGGGAGCCGGCGTATGCTCGGATATTGGGTGCTGGACCAGGCAGCTGAACTGCAATGGAAGCAGGAAGCTCTGCTCATCAGCAAGTCCAGCCATTGCATTTCAGCAGCTAAATATTTCAGCATCAACTTTTACAAGTAATGACAACTGAAAGCGTTCTTCTATAACAAAATTTAGAGAAGTTAACAAGGCATGACTTACAAGTTAAGAGTGAGCATAAAGCATACCAACAAGGCAGCTCACAACGTTATTTTAAAAATCAGGTCTGCAAGAGTATCACCTTATTCTGGGAAAGGCCGTGAATGGAAAAAAGTCGACTCCAAAGCAGAGAGGACTTGGAATATTTGCAGCTTACCCTCGGGCTGCGTGGCCACCTTCAGTGGTGCTGAGCTCTCTCCATGGCCGTGCTTGTTCTGAGCCACAACTCTGAAGACATAAACCGTTTCTGGCATCAGGTTTTGGATCATCACTTGTGTCTCTCCAGGACGACTGGTGTTTTCAACACGTTCCCTTTGGGAAACAAAAAGATGGGGCACGGAAGAGGCCATTGGTTAGTGAGAGGGTTTTTGAGCAGATACAGAAAGGAATCGGGTGCTGCTGGGAACAAAGCTGACACGTATCCTGTCTGAATGCATCTGATGCATTAATGACATTATTTACACCACGCTGACTACACAAAACTGGTAATATGCCAAAATTGCTGGTGACAAACAGCTTCCAGTTTTGTAACTTGTCTTTAGAGAAAATACTCACTGAAGTAAAAGAGTAATTTATGCTCAGCATCACCAAATTCGAAGCAGTTTCATTGTTATTCTCCTAACGGCGTGCCATTACTCATCATGACAGTCTATCCTACTGTTCTGAAGCCACAAGAAAAAATATTTAAGAATCGTACACAGACTGGTGAGATTTAAGGCATTTCTGTTAACATTGTGGGGTTGCTTTTTGTATATTTTCTCAAGAGGCTGTTTTACGATTTTCTTCTCCCTCCAAACTTTACTTAGTTCCTCCCTAATATTTAGATTCTTTAAAAACATCCCGAGGCCCCGACTCGCATCCAGCCCCACACACAGCTGGGGCACTGCTGCTGTTACCACCCAAGTTGTGGAGTCAACACAAGGCAACTCCTGCCCATGGCCCCAGCACGAGTGGGGATCACTGAGAGCAACTTCAGGAAACCCCATCGCTCCGTACCAAGCCCAGCCCTGAGGTGAAGACTAAAAGATTAATTATCAACTAACTACAACCTTTATTTCCACCACCTTGCTGCTGTCACGTGAACCTTCCCACAGCTACTGCTGGGTAGGGCTGTGTGTGGATTGTTCTGGCTTGGAACGAAGCTATCTACTCCTGCAAAATGGAAATAACAGCAGTACTGGGGGAAAAAAACCCAAAACTGAGAACTTCACCATAGGGAAATAAAAGAAAAACGTGAATGGTTTGAATACAAACATTCCCCTTTTGTCTGACAGACTTCAGTTAGCTCTACAGCAGAGGGCAGACGATTCTCGTCCCAACGATTAACTGCTATTAAATCATTTTTAATGCAGAAGTCTGGGCAAAATTATTCCACAGTTTCCCCTTTCCTACCTTCCAGCCATTATGGTTTAGATTACAGCACGGAAATACAATGCCCAATTCCACATTTTTAATTTATTTCCTTTAAAATCAACTACTAAGGTTGATTTAACACAACTGGGTTTAAAACACTTGGAAAACACTGCTCATTTCTGCACTATTATACTGCTTATTGTACAGAGGGAAACAATATTCCAACTGTAACTAAAAAGCTGTTACACACATTCTCTAGAATATTCTTCTTCATGAAAGTTGAGCTAAAATGGTATTGCATAAACAGCTTAATTTATTTCAGATTTACTTAATTGTCAGCCTTGAATGAGCAGCATCCCTACGTTAGAATTAAAACGGTCTGCAACCCTTTTAACATTACAGGGTATTTTTGCACAAAAGAAGTTGGTAGAGAAGCTAAAGAAATATAATTCCCACTACAAAATGAAGGGGAGGCAGGGAAAAAAGATAAATATTTTCTCTCGCTAACTTTTCCAGTTATAGCTGGAGCAAAATGTTTGTTTGAAAATGCATTTTCAAATGGTTAGTTTCCTTTAAGACGTGCCTTAGATATAATGAAGGTATTTGAAAACCCAGAATAAGTGCTAACTGATTCACAGCTGTGGAACAGCATTCATCTCCCATTGACATGCAAAATACATTGCATTTTCTGCCTCGAGTGTAAATGCACTCACTGATTTTATCAGAAAAATGTCAGCAATCCAAGGTTATTATTTAAAATTACAAAAAAAAAACCCACCCAAATTATTTTTAATGGAAACACAACATTTATCAAAAAATAAATAGACATGCCAAAGTATTGCAATTTTCAGTAATAAGTAGGGACCGTGCCTTCCCTCACAACAGTTAAAAATATGGTGAGATTAATCTAATTAAGTGCTTCATGAATCTCTCCTTTATGCCCTTTCCTAGGAAGCCTTGAGCACCTTTTATGAGCTCAGATGCATTTTGGTTGGCAGAACAGGTAACAAAACAGATGGTCTATAGGAATATCTATATTACCAGACAGAACCTTATGACTGTTCTAACTCATGCCAGTTTAATCCCCAATTAAAGAGCTTTGTAAACTAGAATTAAGGTTTACAGTAGCTGTCACGCACTTAGGGGAAAAAAGCTACAGCTCACATCCAGAAATAAGGGATCATCTGGAAACGTAAAGCCCAAAGTTATGCTTACAGAAACAAAATCTTTGGGAAAGGACAGAGGTGAGCAGCAAGACTGCACACAAGCAAACTCCATTATCTGTAGCTCGCCAGGCCAAACCAGAGTTACCATCTTGTACCTTCTCACTCCTCAACAGACACCAAAAACTGCCCAGACCAGCTGGAATCACTTCAAAAGCAATAAAAGCAAGTGCCAAAACATAGAAGAACTGGCATTTCTGCTTCAGTTCCCCCTTTGCTAGTGCTGATACTCCTCTGCAGCACTCAACTTGAAGGGCAAATTTGCTTTGCAAGCAGATGCTGAGTTGAAAATGGGAAATATCTCAGTGCTGTGGGCTGAGGGCAGGATGGCTCCTGAAGGCACTGGTGAAGGAAAGCTGACACGGGGCAAAGGAGGACCCTAAGGATTATGTGGGGAAACCCACATTCTGCATGGGAATATTCTGCAGCACTCCAAGGAAGTCCAAAATGCAAAGTTAAGGAACGCCTTCTTGAGCTGCCATGCATCTCTCATTTCACTGGGTGGGCAAAAAACAAGAGGGATGTAACTCAGCAGAGGCCGAGGACTGGTCTCTCCAAGAGCCAACAGGTACCCGAGGCTGCTGTGCCTCCCTGTGCCAAGCTGAATCTACAGCCCCTCAGAGATGAATTAGAGATGTCAGAATATCTAACTGAGTTGTTCCACATCCTGTGTACTTCTTAAATGTTTTAAAAGCCCAATGTAAAAGGGAAATCAATCCAATGACCCAGAGTTTGATCACTGCTCAAACTCAAGCGAGGAAGAGATAATGCTTAGGTTACTAAAGGGATCTGGTAATGAAAATGGCACAAGTAGGCACAAACACACGACTTTCAGAAATAGGATACATGCACTTAAAACTACAGCAGAGATGTATGATCATGTATAATTCAAGGGCCACCTAGCAAACCAAACCAAAAAGCAGTATTTTATGATGCTGAGAAAGTACAGAAGGTCATACATTCAGATTTGACATGAAAACTTTCTGGTTTTGCAATGCCTACTTATGTGGGACATTCTCACCTATTTTTTGAGTCAGTAACAAAGCAATACTTACACAGGGCCCAAAGAACTCAGCAAAACTTACCAGGTAAGAAGAAAACAGAGCATTTGTGAAAGATTAAATCACGTTTCTGCATTTTTCAGCTGTTACAATACTTACCTCTGCCTTTAAATTCCAACTAAAAATTCCACATGCTTTTAAAATTATAATCTCTACGCAGCCAGTTTCTGTTGGTTTTGTGCCTATCCTTAAAGCAATATATAAAAATGTAAACCTAGCTGTACATCAAACAGCACTGCCCCCCACACATGCACACAAAACACTGCTAAGAAGCTAATATTGGAAAATACATAAAAAATAGAGATTTTTAGAATGCTGAGTGCAAAGTATAGGCAATTTACTGGTTGCACAGAGCCCAGTTCAGGGCTGGGAGTGGACATCACCATCTCAGCTACAGGATGTCCTCACTCTTCTATCCCAGGTGCCAAAGTACAGAAACTGACAGAACCAGCAAGCCAAAAACCTCAGCACAGCTCTGGTCCGTTCTTTGTACTTCGAGAGGGGTTAATACCACTTCAAATGCATTTAACATTTGAATTACTCTGAGCCATAACTTTAAACATGCCCAAAAATGCAATGAAGAGTTATTTCTAACCTTCCAGCTGAAGGAAGCACTCAGCTCAAGTGTGAGCTGTGCTCTTCTCATGCGCAATGTATCACGCTCAATTATTTGCTTAATTCAGCTTAATAACTCCCAAATTCGTGCCCTAATGAACTGACACCAGCAAGCTGTCAGCACCATCAGGTCACATCTAATCTGATGGAGATGAGGCAAATAGCACCCATGCCAGGTGTAGCACAGAAGGAGGCCAAGTAGTACAAGCTTCTCATTCTCAAGCATTATTATTTTTAATTTTGTCATTCTCATTGTCTAAACACAACTTTCGTGTCCTAATTTCACAGCACTTCTGTGCTAGTGTGTGAAATGTGTGATATTAGCACAGCACAAAACTTATGTGAAGCAGCTAGAAAGTAATGAATATGTGCCAATGAATGGCTTCCTGAGCCTGCTTTGAACCATGACCCAGAAAGGCACTTGAGCAAACAAAGCTTTCACTGCAGTCAGAGAAACCACCTGCTTACATATAAGCACCAGCTTAAGCACTTTGCTGTGCAAACTTTCAGTGGGGCACCTTACCTGAACCCAGAGGGCTGTTTTCCTACTGCTGGCAACTGCAGTTCCTGCAGCCTGTCCTGTAATTTCCTGGTTTGCTCACCACAAACCATGGAAAACCTTTGTTCTGCACTCTGCTTCTGACCCAACTGGGATATTTTGTAGATTTCTGTAGCCTTGCATGGAGTAGCAAGCCACGCACTTTGTCTTCTCCAAAAGCAAGACCCAGTGCAGGGAGAGGCAGGAAGCCAATTCCAGCACATTACTTTCTTAACAGTCCAGTGGGGAGAGCAGTCAAAACCAGAAATGTGAAGGAAGAAAGGCAGGCAGGTCGGCCACTGCCACTTTTCCTGTCCTCAACAGGAATGAATATTACCAAAATCAGCAAGTAGCAGAAAACCAGCATTTGTGAGGCACTAAAAATGTTACTAATTGCCTCAGTCCTGAGCCTCGACAAGAAGACTATCCACAGAATTAAAACAAATATTTGAGAAAAAAAAAATTCTCCCAATGGGAGCACATTTTATATTCTTTCCACATCACTTTGCTATCTTTGAGCCTCACCCTGTAGTCAGTAAGCAGATAATTTTCTTTTGACTAATAAATCTGATAATCAAGCTAATTTGAAATTAATTAAGCACCACTTAAAATGATTGTTAGCTCCAACTTCTTCAGTCTTATCACAATTTGAAGCTATTCTGAGCCCATCAAGGTCTGATTCCATCAGTAAGAGAAAGGGCAGACTGGCCTAAACCTTTTACAGCGATTCCTAGATGGGAATCATCTAACTGACAGCCACTTGACTCCACAATCAGACTATGTTTGAAGGTTTTAAAGCAGAAGCTGGCAGTGTCAGTGATGCTAAAGAGGTGCTGCAGTCTACTCTTGCTCTTAGCTTCACAGCCTGCTGAAAGCAGGTAGCAACTGCTGGTGGCCAACTGCAAATAGGCACATGGTGACTTGTAAGAGCACGTCTTTACCTGTTGATACCTTCCTTGGTGTAGAAGATTGAATAGGTGAGGTTGTCTCCCTGCGGGTCTGACACCGGTGTCCGCCACGTCAGCCTGATGAAGCGAGTGGAGACGAGGGTGGCCACGACGTCCCGAGGGGCTGTAGGCAGTGGTCCCGTTGTAGCTGGTGCTAGATGGTCATTAGTGGCACTGGTCAGTGAAGTGGGAGGTAATGTTGGGATGGCAACATCTTGTCATGTGCAAACATTGGGGAATATGAAGGGCAAACATCACCACGGTTTAAAAAAAAAAAAAAGAAAAAGAAAACAGGGAAAAAAAAAACAAAAGAAATAAACAAAACCACGATGGGAAACAAAACAAAATGAACACACACAAAAAAGGCCATTAAACTGAAGGCTGACATGCAGGCAAAGGTAACTACTGGAAACTAATGGGAAGTATTAAAGGACACGTCACTGTCGAGCAGGCAGACCAAATCTCCATCGTAATGGAAGTGGCAAGGGAGAGGGAAGGGTGAAGGCTGAGGATAAAATATGGCCTCACACAATATTTTCATGCCTTTGTAAACCAGATGTAATACCAAGCATTTTCAAACAGAAAACCAACCAGTGTCATTTATTCAAGAACACATCCAGACCCCATTTTCTACTTTATTTCATTAACATGCAGAATTAATTTCTACTGTTTCAGCAACAAAAAAGGCAGATGGAACACACCAAACCCCTTGGAGGGGTACAAACTCCAGGCTGTGCAATTAAAGGTTGGAGTCAGCTCACATAACTGCATCTCACTGCCTGGGTCCCACCTCTGCACAGGGCATGGTGGCAGCCCTGGCACTGCAGTGGACATAGAGCCATGCTCCCAAACCTCCCCCAGGACCACGGCTGCCTTCCATCACAGCTCTCACATTTTGCACGGCCTTTTAGAAAGATGCTAAGAGGCACAAACAACTCGGTTCACGTTATGTGGAGGCTTTATGAACTTTTTTGTGCTAAGTCATGCATGTTTTCCTACGTTACTGCTTTAAGGCTAGCCTAAATCTCCAGGATTATTGCATTATAAGGTTGACAAGTTAAGAGCAAAAGTTGTAACGTACAAATAGCTGTTCTCCAAATCCTATTAAAGCAATCCATCCGGTAAATCTAACAGTAATATTCTGAGCAGCTGGACCCCAATTACCACAGGGTATTACAGGAAACACAAATGGTAACAGAAATCTAAAGTTCACGATACCTTGAATTTTCCTAGATTCTTAATTATTTACCAAGCTTAAGCCACTCACTGACATTTTCCACACCACAGTCTCTGCTGCCAAATACATTTATTCACTTGCTAACGATGGAAACTAAAATGGCTCTGATCTTGCCAACAGAGGAGTTCAGAATGAGCACGGCTTTTGGGGAGAGAGCTGCAGCATCTCCACCTGAAGAGCCACCATAATGCATGGACGTGTGTCGTAAGCAAGGAGAGACAAAAATGAACTACAGGTAACACACCATGTGAGGTCTTGAATTCACAGAACTCATTTTTGCATTTCTGTTCCACCACTGACAACGGTGGAAGAATAAAACAGCTGCTTTTATCACAATGTTATGCCTTTCTTCTTGTTTTGATACCGAACTCAGAACTTTTCTCTTCAGTACCTGCATCTTTCGAGGACTCTACAAGGCTCCCAGAGCCAGGAACATGCATATCTTGAATTGAAAGCACACCTCACAGGTAGGTAAGTGCACAAGGATATCTCGTTAAGCTCCCTCCAACACCAGAACAGCAACAGACCACAAATTACCATTCTCCAACACCCTACTTCCAACCAATGGATGACACTCTTACTTCATGTTCATTGCTAAATCTAAACTACTTTTTGTCCCCATCATAAGATTTCCTACAGAAGTGCACCTTTATTAGCTACTTGCATTGGTAGTATTATTTAAAACCATGAACAGTTTGAAGGAAGCTGCTATAAATACATATCAGTGTTGTACAACTGCATCAGACAAATGCAGCATCCTCTCAGCCATTCCCTGAACTCTGATTTACGCTTCCCACAGTTAGCAAAACTATTTAGCATGTGAAACACCTCCCTTTTAAAACACAGAAAGTAAAGATAATTCAGAAATATCACAAAGAAATATCACAAGAGGCACTTGCTATAGAAAGGAAGTTTTTATAGCCACTGTTTCAGTTGTTGCTTTAACTCTCCGAAGACTGGCAGAAATTAATTTCTACTGTATTACCTTATAGAACTGTAAAGAGCTGCATAGATGAGCCACTCATCAGAACAGCAGCCTTGCTCGTGGAGCTGGGATACCTCTTCACACTCAGAATGTGTGAAACCACATACCTTTCATTACCTTACTTTAGCACTTTGGTTTCCCCCACACATCTTGGTCCTAACAGGTGGATCTGCTTCAAATCACACGCTCCTGACCCAAAGGATGCATCCTACCTATCTCTGTAGGTAATGGTGATGTCTCTACCATCACTGTAGTTGGTTAAAACACAGCACAAATATTTTTAAAATAACTACATTGAGACAAAAAGCTGGAGGTGGTTGGATGGATGTCCCATCTCTGGATGCATTCAAGGCCAGGTTGGATGTGGCTCTGGGCAGCCTGGTCTGGTGGTTGGTGACCCTGCAAAAGCAGGGAGGTTGAAACCAGATGATCATTGTGGTTCTTCTCAACCCAGGCCATTCTATGATCTAAGTTCTAAAACACACCTCCCATACTTCCGCACTGGCCTGCCTACGTAATGAAAAGATCCATAAGGGACCCGCGTGCCTGGAGGCCCTGCAGGCAACAAACCAAGGAGCCTGGCAGAGCTGCCAGCACTTCCAGGTTCAGAGAACCTCGGTTTTCTCCTCCTGCAAAATTCAAGCCTAGGAACACTTCTCCTGACAGCATTAGGGTAGATGGGTCACGCACAACAAGAGATTGGTGTCATCTGAAAAACAAACCATGAAGCAAAGGAAAGCACAAAGGATGTGTAAATCCTACGAGCAGCTAAGCTGTGAAGGGACAATTCAATTCACCTCTGGAAAGCCACAATAAACAGCACATGGGAGCAGTGCAGCACTGCTGGCAGCCTTGGGATGCACTCAGAGGAATGGATTCCTTCCTTTCCTTCTCTCCCCATTCTTCCCCAAAGCACCCTGAGCACCACTGCAAACTGATTTGTACACAGCCATGTGAGCAGACTGCTCAGCAGTGCAGAGCTGTGTTAATGAGTAATTACACTGAAATTAGCTTTAATGCCAATAAGGGAGCAGCTTTATTACTTCAAGCTTTTAAGCACGGTGTAACAAGTCACATGCAAACAAGTCTTTTCTTTCTAATATTCCACCAATTTTAAAAAGCAGCCCCATACTAGAAGACTCTTTCCAGGGCTATGCTTTCACAGTTACACATTAATCTTTTTTAAAATATAAAATATGCATATTCAGCAAGTGATACACTAAAAACAGGGAAAACAAATGAAAAATGCTGCATGCCAGACATACGTATACAACAGATTCATCTCTTCAACCACTGCTGGTAATTCAATTCTTCTGGGCTCGTGTTTCTCTAAGGGCTCAGCACCAAACCTTTGCTTGATTCAGCATCCCACAGAGAAGCAGCACATTGCCTTCAGCATTTGAACAAAATCCTTCAGCAAAACGGCTGACACAAAATGAAGTGCTGTCCTTAAGCCCTGGCTGCAGAGCAGCTGGGCCGTGATGGAGGCTTGAGCTTGAAGAACTGCACGTTCTACAAGGAGACATTGAAAGTGCCACAACTCAACTTCAATCAGTAGATAAGGGAAACTGATTGATTCATCTGTCTGCATCTAACAAAATTAAAAGCTAAAGAGAAGTTAAAGCAAAATATTTCAGTCAATTTTCCACTTGGTAATGTATTTTCTAAGGTTTGCACAGTAACCTGGGTAACAAAACTATGTCCAAACTCCTAAACAAATACAATGCAAACAAATACTGAATCACAAGAAGAGGCAGCAGAGAAATGAGCACTTTTTGGATTTTCTGATTAGGAGAAATGCGGATTTTCCTATCTGGCCACTGCGGTCCTTTGCTGCCTGCAGTGCCCTGGGCCCTAAGGGACACCATCAGGTAGCATTTGTGCATCAGTCCCACGCACCTCTGTGGCAGCAGCTCTTCCTTGTGCAGTGTAAAGCACAGCAGTGAGAGAACAAAGAGCTCCAGCACGTGCCTGCAGTGCTGTTCAGTCATACCCACTTCAGGATACTGATGCGATCTTTTAAAAACAACTGTCAAACATACCACACCTGAAAGGCAGCAATTGAAATGCTTTATTTGTTAGATAATTATCAGGAATATTTTCCATGTTGTCCAGCCCCTCCGGTTTAATTTCCCTTTTCCTCCTTGTTCCCCCCAGTGGGACATTATTGGCACGTTGGTGGCTTCCTGGAGCTCTGGGCAATAACATCCAGTTGTAACACCGGACACACAGCACAAAGAGCCAGCAGTGGTATCTGCCTTCAGCTTTGCTGCTGCCACCTGAACGGCCCCATCCTCAGCTACCTTGTGCATAACAAGATGGCAATTCTACAACCTGAAGACTGTACAAATATTTATGAAATCAAGGTGAACAAACACTTGAAGATCGAGTGGTGGCCACCTTAGGCTACTCTTGGCCATAGCAGAGTGCTTACAAAGACACAGCTTCCATGGCTGCCAAACGAGAGCAGCAGGCATTTTCCTCCCGGTGAGGAGCAAGGACAGCTGGGAATTTCCTAAGCATCCTCCTAGTGCAGAAGGAAGCCTTCCTGAAACCTTCCTGTAGCCTCACCCTCAGAGGACACAGAGCACAAAGCAAGGGGAGAGCAAAACAGCCCTGGTCAGCAGCAAATTCAGGGCACTGAAGAGCAGTGAACGTAACAGCACTGCAGAAGGAGAGAAAACCCTCTTTATAAGGACTTCAGAGTAGCTTTATAGCTTTTGAGTGTAAATAAGGCCTTGGCTTCAGTAACAGAGACTTGATGCTGCAACTAAAAATAGCAAATTACTATTTTGCCAGAAAATCTGCAAGAAAAACATGACCTCAGTCACTCAGATCTCTAAATGCCCTGGAAAGTCTAACTGTAAGAAGGAGATACTCAGAAGTACCAGTATGTTCAAACATTGATTTGCTGTACTCTAATTAAACTGTTTACTAAGTAAACTATATTTTGTTCATACACTGCTATTTAGCTGATTCCAGAAGGGCAATC